TAAAGGCGAGTTCAATGAAAAACGTGGTTAGTAAACGAAACTCCGCGATGAATTTACGATCTATTAGCGCGAATAAATCAAAAAATTGTTACTTAATAGATGTCGTTAAGAAATATTACCCGGAGCCCACGCTCGGTCGTGTTTTGAATTTATTCGCCGGATTTTTTTTTCAACCTTTTCTCTCCTTTTTACGGATTTTCAAATTAGCATTTCTGATAAATTGCGCGCCGTAGGCGGTACTCCTACCGGTTCGTTACAAACAGGTACTCTCTTTCGCTGCAATACGGATAATTTGTAATTCCGAGTCGCCGGGTAATCCCATTAATTTATCCCTTACCGGGACGAACTTCCCTGTTTCACCTAATGGAAAACCGACTGAGCGCTGTTGGCCCGTCTGCATCGAGCACGATAAAACCGATGTAACAGAACGGTTTTTATTTCGATAAGAAAGATTATTTCGCGTATTATGAGAAAAATAACGAGATTTGGCAACGGGGCGATTAAAAACGAACGCTGCAGAGGCTGTGCAGGAATTCAATTTGTTAACTTTTCCTTAAAAAGTAAGTTAAAGCATTTGTGATTCGAGTTTTTTTTATGTACACGCGTTTTTATGGGATATATCGCCTATCTTGGGACACATAGTTTATCGACTCCTTTGGAACAGTGGCGTACACGTCAACTGTCAATTTTTTGTTTCGAAATAAACGAAAGTATATTTTCGGAAAAGTTTAATCTATCTCGCCTACTTTTTGGTTACATTTCTAATGCATCCGAATTGACTTTTGCTCGGAGCTGGCTCCGTTCCAACGCAATCAAAAGGCTTCCCGAAACGGACCATCTGTACGCTTAATACACTTTGTACACATCTATTTATCTAGATAACATAATTAAACGTTAACGTGCGACCTAAACCCGAGTAATTAAAGCTTTTCTTGGACGCTTTTATTACACACGAAAATTATTTCTTCTGGAAAAAATTGGGCATTTTTATCGATAGAAATACGCCCTGTCGGGGAAATCAACGCCCTCGTTTTTATGTTAATAATCGCCGATAAACTGTCGAGAAGGCCTAGGCCTTCGTACGTTATCGTTCCGAGCCAGAGGAAATTCTCAATACACAAACAAAATGCCGCAGGGGCCTTATGTCCATAAATCAGTGACGTACGTGCGAAACTATTGAGTCACCGCAGTAAATAGAGCACGACATACGGGCGTAATTATGAATAAATAAGCTATTTTAATATTCAAATCACATCATAAACAACTTCATATTTTTACGGTATTTATTGTTTATAATTTATTGTAATGCAAACAAGCCGGATTCGTGGTTATAAAGAAGGTGTAGCGACACATTCGAATTTCGAAGTCTACAGTAAAATTCGATTAAAGACGGTCATAATTAGTCGAGTTAATGAAGACATCGTAACTCAGCGATTCCTGCAACAGTTAATTAAATCGACTAACTGGCGTAATTAATATTTTTTTTGTCTCTGCTAGCACATTTCGAGCGAATTTAACGTTAATTACCCCAATTAAATTCGGAGTAGGTACAATCAACTGGGAATGAAATTTTCGAAAAATCTCGGATGAGCTCGCTAAAAACGTAATGCACAGGTAATGACGGATACAAATCATCCATTAAATTAATTAGGGCCCCATTATGTTGCGTATATTCGTGCTCTGTAATTAAGTAAGCGTGCGTTTAATTTATGTCATCCGAAAAAGGCGATCTCTCGTCAAAGCGGAGAGACGGAAATTAATGATCATTTAAAAAAAAAATCTCCTCAAATTCTATATTGTTGGCGCAACAAACGGCGATCTATCCGCTCGATTGGGAAATCCACTTCGAAAGCTACACGTTTATCGCAAGGTACGTATGTAAATAAAACAGTTTTCGAAAAAAAATCGTATGCACCATTATCTTTAGTCGGTCGAAAATTAATTTTAGTCGAATAGAAACGAGGGAATTATGTTAAAGAGGTTCGAAAAGCAAGACGTACACAAGAAGACATGAATGGGCTTTCAGCAAGATGAACTCTTTCGACCGAAAGTAATAAGTGAAATTAACGGAGGGATGAGCGTTCGCTTTTTTACCCTTGCCGGGCGATGGTTGTTTTTTTTCGGCTTTCGGCCAAAAAAGTGTGATAATTTTCCTTTCTCTCTGCGAATAAATCGACTGTTGGAAACACAACAGGTTCTGACTAACTTACAAGGAAAAGGCCAATAATTTTTGACAACTCTCATTTTATAGTAAAAAAATGACATGTCATTATGTCAAACTTCACTCTGTACTTTATATTATGAGTTCTGTCAAAATATTTTCAAGTTTATTTAGTTTAAAGAGTCCCAGGAATTATTTTAAATCTAATTAAGTTATTAAAATCGCGTATTTAAACGTAAAGACTAATCATTTTAAACACCTGTCATTCGATTATAAAAAGTTACATGACAAACTTCACTCAGTAAGTACTTTACATTATGTATTATTTAATATTCGTATCATAAAATATTCTAAATTACTCAATTTAGCACTAAGAACCGTTTCAACTCCATATTACTCTCTGATCTAAAGAAACCAATTTTTGGAATTTTGACACGTTATGACTAACTTACAAGTAAAAGGCCAATAATTTTATTCACCTGTCATTCGATAGTAAGTCAAACTTTAGTATCCTATGTGAACTATTTCAATTATGAATGTAAAACGATTAAAATCGCGTTGTAAAAGCATTCACAGCGCGATTCGATATAAATACCAGCATTTTCGAATTCGTTGATTTCATTTTAGTCTTGTCTTCTTCTCGCTCGTGCGCCCGAAACGCGCGGTTTCTGGTCGAGAGGAATCTGCATACAAAAGCAAAAGGAACAAACAGTCTTATGAACTTCCCTCGCAAGAGAGAAATTTATGGTACACCGTGGAATTTAATCCGTAATTGTTTGCGGAGGATCTAAATTGCGCCGAAGGTTTCGCTCTTTGGCGAATCGTTTATTAATTCTTCGGTTGTAAACGAGCTTTTATTTTTCCGAACTACTTCAAAAAGAGACCGAATAACTCGAGTCGACGAGACCGCTGAAAAAGAAGAAGACGTAACGGCACGCTCTAACGAGTGAAGTACGGAGCGATTTTTATAAGGATATATAACACGAAATTTACGATTATCAGGGGAGTAATTAAAACGGAATTTATAGCATATTCAGAAGGGTAGTTAATTCAATAAAGGGTTTCGTCTGACAAAAGGAATTCGATGTTATTCGGCCCTTATCCCTAAAGCATAATCATCTAGCAACGAACTTTTAACCGATTAAATCGATCCCCTCTCGCTATTTTAACACGTCCGACGCCGCGATAAAAACTCTTATTGGGTTAATGATGAATTATTGGAATTAATTAGCAAAGCAATTTATTTCGGTTCGTTTGTTCTCCACAGGTTAATGCGTTCTCTAATATTAGAAACGTCGACAGGAACAATAATCAGTTGTCACTCTTCGAGAATATTTAAATTTTCGCCGTCCCATTAACGGGTAATTAATTCGAGTAAATTTAAAACAGGCTAGTAATACATAATTAATACGAAAATTTATCGCCGGTTACATAAATAAATTATCGCCGTGAAATATGTTTCTTTTATGTCCACTTCTCCCTCTTGTAACGAGGGTATAAAGTGGTTTGTATCAAATTTTCCGAGACGTCGAAAGTTTTCCCTAATACAGTAAGTTTTTTTTATACGGCAAACTTTTACAATAATGGCCGGAATGATGTAAAAAGTTAAATGTGTTTTTCTCTTCCTCACTGTTGGTTAAAATTAAAATAGACTTCAAAAATCGATTGTGTACATTGGTTTAATTCCCCTGTAATCGATAGATGTTTGACGAATTCGTGGAAATTCGACTGCGATGAGATTTCGAAAAGGATTCCGAATAATAAACCAAACCGGTGAAAGCAAAAGTTGAACACGTTCTATCGACTCGGTCGTATTTCGTACGGAAAACAATGTAGACAACGCAAGAAAAAAGAATAAAAGACCGGGGATATTCCTTATAAGTTGGTATCTTCTCATCGAAATATTTTCGGTATGCACGTTTTCGATGACTCATCGACAATAATGACTATTTTGACAAGTTGCAAAAGACGACGAATTCGATTTACAACGTTGCCTGCTCCTCCCAAATATCACTAGCCTCAAGGATATATACAAAAAATGCAGCAGGATTTCTCACTTTACAAGCGACAGAAATTATGTCCGTTTTGCAAACTATTTGGAGCATCATAAAGACTATCAGATTAAAATTAACGAGCAGGAACAATCCCGATGTTAGCATGACGGATCCGATTGCTCTGACGATCAATCCTTCCATTATCCTCTCCTTGGTCGCTGACTCATCCGATATGGCAACAAACCGGTTTGTTTTGTTATCTGTCCAAGCGTGATTACGCACCGAAACAGCCGTCTAAAGCGCGAAATCGTTTTCGCAAATCGAGCCAGCCGCGCCAAAAATACATGACTTATGGAGAATGGCGTAGAGTCAACTGTGTTTTTTTTCCCTGATAATTTAGTAGAATTTAAATATGAATGCGATGCCGTAAATCATCGGTTATTTTAGTTTATTTTTTATACTCGACACAATATATAAAAAGATTTAGGTAGAATTCTAGCGGGATGCTTATAACCAAGGGGCCACATGCGAGGAAATGAAGAAGTCTCTGTGAATCACCTGTTGCCAATAGAAATGAGTTCTTAGGAATTAGAAGTTTTATATAGCCGGAGGTTTGGGTAAGTAAGAGGCCATCGTAGGAGAAAAAGAAGATATCATCGTCAGTAAATCACCTGTTGCTACTAGATTCTTCGGAATGAGCAATTCTAGCTGGATGTTTGCATAAATGAATAAATCATCATTTGTAAATCCCCTGTTGTTACTAGAATTAGGTTCTTTGGAATTTGAAGAAACTATATAATTTGTGGTTCCAAATAGTGAGTAGATTAAGGCGTTATAATACATACACATTTCCCTTCCAAGCACCCAAGTCTCCGGCCTGGAGTTGACCTCGACGAGCACGGTGGGCGTACAAACCAGCAGCACCATGAGATCGGCGACGCTGAGATTCACCAAGAAGATGTTGGTGCTGTTGCGCATGTCCTTGGTCTTGAATATGACGATGGGCACCATGACGTTGCCGATGACGCCCAGGCACATGATGACGATGCAGAACACCATGGAGGTGGTGCGAATGTAGCCGGGGAACACCGGGTAGGCGCCGTCGGTGAAGTTGGTCGAGTTGGTGTAGTTGGCGTCCGGGGGCGGGTACAGGTACCCGGAGGCGGCGGTGGCGTTGACGTCCGTCGGGGTTTGGGTGGCGTTCAGGATGGACAGAGACGCCGCCGTTGAAATCATGACATAGTTTTATCGAGAAGGATCTGCAATTAGATTATTTTGCTTGATTATAGGACGGTGCACTAAAGGTAGGTTTTTTCCAGAACAAATATGTTCTGAACAATATTTATTCATACAGGGTGTTCCTAAACATCGTGTACATCCGAAAGGGGTGATTCCTTGGCTTATTTTATGACTAAAAGTTCATATAAACGCTTCGTTACCGATCTACAGGATGTTGAAATTTCAAGATTTCAAGATTTTTTTTTGTTTTTTTCTTTGTAGCTCCTTGCAGTTTTTTAGCTCAAATTAGGTGTCAAATTAGTGGTTCTCTTTCAACATTTGTTATAATGTAATTTAATAATTATTTTTTAGAGTTTTTGTATAGTAAAATAAATCACTTGTACAGGAAATCGTTTTTAATTTTTTTCTCGATAACGGTAACAGAAACGAAAAAAGTTTTTTAACAAAACAGACAATTCATTTTGTATTCTAGAATCTACCAGCGGCGCACAGCAAAAAAGTTCGGGGGGAAAAAAGGGTACATGACCCCTAAAAAATATCACCCTGTAGAATTCAACAACCATCTGACATACGCACTAATGTGTGCCCTATAAAGTAATCTAGATTCAAAATTTGAGCTAAATATCTGCAGGAGTTACAAAGAAAAAAAATTCAACACCCTGTAAAATAAAATAAACCCAATAAAAGCCCATAAAATAAGCCAAGGAATCACCCCCTTTCGGTTGTACACGATGTTTAGGAACACCTTGTACAGTTTCTCTCAAAAATATCTTAAACAAAGCATTCTATTCAGAAAAATCCCCAAACGTAATTTTCCACCCTCTCAGTAGTTTAAAATCAAATTTCTCTCTACTAAACAACCCTTATTTATCCAATCCCCTCCGACGTTTATCGGTGAATAAACACAAGTTTCCCGTTTCGCCCTGTTTATTATAATGTTCGTCTTAAACGCGAAACCGAGAAAATAAAACCGATATCAGAGCAAATAATTTTCCGAGTGGCGGTTTTCCGACAAAGTGGTCGAATGTTGATTCAAGGGGATGAATAAGCGCCTGTTTTTCGACAAGACAAACAAAAACGACGAAATTCGACTACGGGATGATACGTGTTTGCACTACCCTTATTTTTTCTCCCTTCCGTCGTGGAGAAACTATTGTAAACAACCGCGAAAAATTACCTACTCATTAACAACATTTATAAACACACTTAGTTAAATTGAACTTTAATTGAAGATCAGAGGATGATGGAATTCTAAAAAGATAGGGTTCGAGTGTGTTGCTTAAGGGTTAATTCCAAAAATCCCGGAAAATTCGTCGAGCGTCGCGACGCCCTCGACGCTCAAACATAATTCGTTTTTGATGACAACACTCGATAACAGGGGGTGAAATCAATGTCTTAAAAGGTTTTAAAAGCATTAGCTCGTTACTTAAATTTAGTTTCGCTTATTTTACAAGCGGTAAAATTTTAATAAACTTAATGGCGTAAAATTAAAAATAAAAACGCATAAAAATGTATTTATCTTGGCGTTGGCCGATTAAGTTGCTCAATGGGTGTTATTGAATGTATCTGAGAGAAAAGAAAAATCAACAAACATCCTCGTATAAACCTCATTTGATACAGTGCCTTCTGGATTTATTGCGGAGCCATTAATTAACGTCCTTAAAGCAAAATAAATATTGCGCTAATAATTTTCCGAAATGTACGCTAGGCTTTTTTCTCGCCGGCCCCAACTTGAAAGGAATGCAATGAAAACAGAATTGCACAAGTTATATTTAATAAAGGATGTAGTTTTTGAGAACAAACTGCGTTCTATTTATCGATGTTTTTGTAATGCAATCTCGCCCTTTCTCGTCGATGATGAGATACCCTACAAAATACGAATTTCCCTATTGATAAAATAACGATTTTCGAAGCAATCTAGCTTGTACAAACAAAAAATAACATCATATTAAACATTGTTTACCAATATAGGGAGCCTATTATTAACATTTCCACCGCGTATGTGGGTCAAAAAATGTTTGCCTAATTTCTCCCTCCGATTATCACCGGAAAAATTCAACCCGCGAGGGTGGAAATCTCGCCGCGCGCGACCCCGAAAAAAAAGAATATAAATCTTAATGAAAAGTTTTTCTTTATCACCCAACTCATCTTCTCCTCGGAGGAAACTCGACGACCTTGCGGTTCAAGGGTTAACAAAACCCTAATTCAAAAAAGTTCTATAAAAGCCCCAACCGTTTGTTGGTTATTAATCGCTTTTCTCGGAGTCTAGACTAACAAAAACATTTTTTCTTTCCTATTTAATGTCCTTTCATTTTTTTCATATTGCATCCCGTACTCCAAACAAGAATTTTCGCAACAAAAAAAACAAACTCAAACTCACTAAATTTCCATGCCAACGGCCGAACTCGGCGGTTCTAGAAATCTCCTCGAGCCATCCATGGCTTTCCCCGCCGAATTTTCCCCCAGGAAGGGCCCAGTCAGGCCGATTTTCCGTCCATCAAGAGCACGCGAAACGACGAGGAAATCGCGATGTTACCGGCCTGGACCGAACCAGCGCTTGCTTGCTTTACCACCACAGAAAACAGACTGGCCATCCTCAACGTAAACGCCACTGACGCCACGTTGCCACATCCACAACCATCAATTTCCTGCTATTTCCTACCAACTAATTCATCCCCAGAAATACTTTTATTCATTGCGCTTTTTACTCTCCATTAACATCATCTTATACAACGTTGTAAACTTACTATAATTCGAGATAATAGTGAATTTTTGATTAGCAGTCAGCAGGATATAATTCCTGCGAATCGTTCGGCAGGTGTCGGGGATTTTCGAGGCGATGCGGCAGCGTCGCGAGGCGCCGGTTTCATTCAACATAACTTACAACCTCCGAAGCCGGCCAATCGGTTCCTGCTGTTGCAGGAAGCATGCGCGACCGGCACGCGGTCGTCTCGCTGTAGTTCCACTCTCGCGGGATTTTTCTTCTTCCGTTGTTTCGAAGAATCACCGTCGACCGATGATTTTCGTAATCGAATTAACACGTCCGTCGCCGCGTCAATTTACCTTCGACAGGAATTCCTGATGCGAAATGCGTCGGAGAAATCTCTAAAGAAAAGAATTAGGTGGGTGAATTGATTTGTAGGAATTTTTACATAATTAATAAACGTATTTTCGGTCCTGTCGAGGATACTAACGAAAAGTAGGCGTTATTGGCAGGATTTGAAACCGTACTTTTATCGAGCGCTATTTCTGTTTCTGAGCCTTTGTTTCCACATTCCACATTCTCAGCATGTCATTACCGCGAGCGCGATACGGTCAGCAGGATAGAATTTGCGCGCTGCAGGAACTGCAACTTTTATTTTCCCATTTTCTCCTTTTTTTTTTCGGTCGTCGAAAAACTTGTACATGAAGCTTATTGATTCGACGGGGTGCGGTCGCCCTCGCAGGAACTTAATTATTTGTTTATACACAGCGAAATGTATGAAGAAACGTAATGAATAATACGAAGAACCGTTCGATCTTCACGATTCAACGTTTACCGAGAAATAGGTCGTAAATCGAGGACGCGATAAATGCGGCTTTATGAAATTTTCATGCTGTATAACCCGATATCTTCGACATTTAATACCTATTTATCCATCTATAAAGCGATTATTAAAAGGAAATAAAAAAGCGGGAATGTTGTAATAGTATTAGAAGAATTATTAGGATCTTACTAGAATCCAATTTCAAACGGCCTAATTTATAAATTCCTGCGAAACTCGACTTGTTTTTTACGACGAACTTCGCGATTCGAACAAAGAACCAGGAACGGTTTTTCATCATTTCCGGTAATACGGGCTGCGAAAGAAAGCCGCCTTCCTTTCAATTTAATCAGTTAAATCAAAAGCATCAGTCACGAGAAAAAGGATCAGGGCGCTCGAGTTTATATCCCCCCCGGTTCTCTGTCGTCAAATTAACTGGAAGTCGGACAAAATTGGGACGATCTTATCGGTTTCGTGAGACAACTCCCCCGACCGGAGTCGGTTTCGACGTGGGATGAATCCGGGCACCGGAGGATCCCGTAGGCCGGCTCAAAGGATATTCCGGAGGTCCTTGCACGTGTTTCCAACGGGTGATTTAATTAACTGGCTAATTTGCTGGCGATAAAATTTCTCGCTCGGCGGGGGTTGCGATGAGTAAATATTACTTCGTTTTCGAGCAGCAGGATGAGGATTCTCATATTCCTGCTAATTTGTTTTGGGTTTTATCGGGGATAAGTGGAAGTTGGATTGGACAATATTAGAGATGTTGTTCTCTTTATTAAGGATGTTCTAATTGAAGGATTTTGAACAATTCATATGGTTTTGGTTTAAATAGAATTTGTAGTTTGGAACATTTTTGGGTGATGTAAAGGTTTTTTGGGAGTTACATTTCTGATGATAATTAAATCTTACTTTTCATTAAGGAAAATGGACATTTCTAGGATTCTGATGCTCAATATTTAGAATATTGTTCTATTTGAAGGATCTTGAACAATCCAAATGATGGTTTTGGTTTAAAGAATTTGTACTTTGAAACATTTTTGGGTTATGTAAAGGTTTCTTTTTTGTTACATTTTGTATTATTTCTGATAATTTAAAGTTTCTGTTCATTAGGAAGATGGATAATTCAAGTATTCTGCTCAATATTATTTAGGATATTGTTCCATTTAAAGGATCTTGTACAACTCAAAAGGCTTCGGTTTAAGGAAATTAACCTTTTAACTTTTTTTCAAACATGCAAAGGTTTCCTTTTGGTTCGTTTTTGTAATTCCAGACAATTTCTGTTCATTGACATTGTCTGATATTGAAGATTCTCCTGATGACTATATATAGGGTGTTCTCGAATTTAAGGCACTAAATTCTAGAGGTGGTAGTTTGCATATATTTGAGAGTGATTCGCAGATTTCCGAGAACACCCTGTATTAAAATTTTGCTATACAGGGTGTCCCAATGAAAAGTAGCCCCTTTAGTGAGCTAATAATTTTTAAACGCCCAATCATAAAAACATGCAGTTTTTGCAGATATATTTTATTTTGCTAAAACTTTTTGTTACAGTGACACAAAAATTTTGTATCGCCTGTTCAGAGTGTATTCAGAGTGAAGATTGCTCTAACGTTGATGGACCGGTTCGAGCCTCAGGATTCCGAAGGACCGTGCTAGAGAAAAATGCGTGCGCGATGCGTGTAAGCAGGTCCTTCACCCTCTCGGATAACCGGCGATTTCAGACACGAGTGCAACGTCTGCTGACCCAAATAGCCATGCACACGACGTATCGCCCCCATCTCAGGCCGCCTCTTGGGGGCCGGCGGGGCGCCCTAAGGGCCGCTTTCCGGGCCAGAAGTGCGTGTACGTGCGCGGAATGATCCGCGACAGACGGGATTTCATTCCGTATCGATGGCGAGGCGGAAATAAACCAACGGGGAGGACCGGCGATGGAGCATTCCGCTTAGCGATGTATTTTTAACGTGAGATATCGCGTCGAAAAAAATTGCGTATTGGAAATAATAGAGCCGATTTATCCGGAAGGAACGTGCTCGATAAGAATCACGCTACTATACACCTACCTACTCGGGAATTTTCAACATCAATTTCGTATTATCAAAAAAAAATACCGCTGCTTTTGCTGGGTAATAAAAATACCGAGTAATCATAATTCGCCGGAGTAGCGACACGTCTCTACGCGTTTCCTCGGAATATTATAAGAGAATATACACGCACCACGCACAATTCCGTATTCCCGGCGTGTACACGACGGTAATAATTCCTGCAGATGCATTGCTGCGCGAACGCACGAACGGCCCGAAAGATGGGAAAGACCATTTTTATGCAAGCGTATGCGTACGGTTCGGTTTTTTTTGTTCGTTAATAAATCACCGGAAAGCCGTTCGAAATTCAAATTCGGCCGACGTGATTGAATTTTCGTTGTTTAGAAGCGTTCTAATAGCGTTAAATAATTTAACAAAAAGTTTAATACAGGGTGTTCCTAAACATCTTGTATACATACGAAAGGGCTACGAAATTCCTTGGGCTTATTTTATGACTAAAAGTTTATATAAACGTGGGTCCGCAAACGCTTCGTTACCGATCTACAGGGTGTTGAAATTTCAAGATTTTTTTGTTTCTTTTTTAGAGCTCCTGCAGTTTTGGAGATATTTAGCTCAAATTAGGTATAGGATGTAGAGTATAGAGTATAATTTAAGTAGGAGGTGGTCACTTTCAACATTTATTATAATGTAATTTAATGATTGTTATTTAGGGTTTTTGCGGACCCACGTTTATATAAACTTTTAGTCATTAAATAAGCCAAGGAATCACCCCCTTTCGGATGCACACGATGTTTGGGAACACCCCGTATACTAGATAAAACAGTAAATGAATGAATAAATAAATCTCTTGGTATATCAGTAATTGAAATGTTAAATAAATCGGCAAATAACTGAGTAAATAAATGAGTAAATTAATAAAGATATGAATCACTAATGATTCGAATTATTAGTAAATAAATTACTTAATAAATCACACAATAAATCACTTAATAAATCACTTAACAAATCACCTAATAAATCACTTAATAAATCACTTAACAAATCACTTAATAAATTACTAAATAAATATCTTAATAAATCAGTAATTAAAGAAATTAATAAATCAGTAAACATGCCAACAAATAATTCTATATTTAAATGAGTACATAAAAAATCAGTAATAAATCACTCATAATATACCCATGTAAAAAAAAACAAAAAGAAAATACAACAATTAGGTCCAATAATTCCTTTTTATTTATAAACATTCTAATTCGAAGTATAAATGAAGAAAACTGTTAGCGCGTCCGCCAGAATTTAGAATATACTTTTAAATTTTGGCGGAGATACTAGGTTCACTGAATCTTTATGCTGTACAGAAAAACATGGATGAGCTGTTTCTGGGCGATATTGCGATATTTTCCAACGGAAAATCGAAGAAGCATCAAAGCGTTAAACCGTAAAGGCACGTAATAATTTTTTTTTGTTATAGTTAAACCCTAATATCGCCCTATCGATTGAGCATTCATTATTACGAGCAGGGCCCTCGTTGGGTTATCAACTGTACATTAGTTATTATAGCAGGATTTTCTTATACAGATTGTCCCAAGTTGTCCCCAGATTGTTAGAAAATTGCATCTTGCTAATTTTTTTATTAGTTATTAGAAAAATCTGTCGAATAAAATTTACCGATTTCGAAAGGAAATTATCACTGTAGGGCGATCGGAGGTCACCTTGACGAATTCTCGTAAGGATTTATTGCATTTCCATGTCATTTGCAGTTCGAAGGGAATTATTTTCCGCTCGATTTTCGGCCGTTTCTCAACGAGCGGGCCATTTACTTCGCTGCCTTGAGACGAGAGAAATTTTTCCAAAAAAAAAGAAAAATAAACCTAACCGATCGTGAAAACAATTTGGAAATATCGACGGGCCTTATGGGTTACTTGAACCTTGAGATTTCGGTTTATTTATACCATTAAATACCCTTTATAAAAATTTAGGAACTTATTGTTAGGATGCAGGAACTCGATTCATAATAAAGACGTTTCAATGTCCTGTTATTATTGTGTTGGTTGATTCGATGAATTTTAATATAAAAATCTAGTGAGATCAATATCATAGTGTACGCATAACCTTGGCTAGTATGTCAATGAATTACAATAAAAAAATATTATAATACAGTGGAAACCGAAAGAGGACAACCTTGCTTGTTTCTTAAGTTCATTGGACTTTTAAATAGAAAGCAAAAAATATAAACAAACCATATATTTGATATAAAATGTATATTTTGCTAAATAGTTACAATAAAAAGTTGTTTTTTTACATAAAAAAATATTGGTACATCCTGTATATATACAACAAGAATGCGAATTAATCGGCGAATAATTAGGAAGTAAAATGCATTGTTAGATATTTTTATGTAGGATTTGTGAAAAGAACGTCCTTGCCTATAATCGCATAAAAATCAGAAAGATATTTAATAACAGCCGTATAATTTATATTGATAAAACAGAAAAGCCTATATCAAGGCTGATCCGTTTAATTGCCGCTAATAAATAATGCATGTATGCAATTGCGATTACGAAAAAAATCCTGTTACAATATTGTAATGCGGTTGCTCGAACTATAATCGAGAGCGGGTCAACGGTATAGGAGGCAAATAATAACTGAAAGTAAAAGCAACTTGTTAAAGGCGCTTTTTTATTAAATCGCTCTAATCAGGAAGTGCGAATGGAAAAAAGGATTAATTTGAGGAGGGAAACGGAACAGGGCACATCAAGGCTGCAATCCGAACACATTTCGGCTACATGAAATCATTATCTGATTTTTTTAATTAAAGTTCGATCCATTAAAAGCGAAGGTTTTTATCTTATAACGTTTCCTCAAAGCTGCTGCAATATTTTTTATTGTTGCAAATACCGCAACGTGTTTTTTTATAATGAAATGTACAAACTAAAAAAAATGTGCGAATAAACCGAAATTTGCATCAAGGAAACTTGTAGATAATTTGGCAACAAGGCGGATATGGAAGTTTTCTTAAAAAACGCGTTTTTTATGAACAAATTCACATAATAATGGAATAAATCAATTACCAGCGCAAGCAGGATTAAAAATTCAATAAAAATCACACCAATCAATCAATGTAAATTTATGCACAGTAATAAATTATCAATTACAAATTATCCAGATCACTTTCGAAAACAAAAAAATGTCCTTCGGCGCAATTTTAATGCAATTCCCTGAAACCGAAAACTTTCAACGAAAAACTCATTTACAGAACTTCAAAAACCATAGAAGGTCTAGAGTCTAGAGTCTAGAGGAAAAAACATAAGTAACAGATTAACATTTACTTTGAAGAGAATTTTTGGGTCATGATCATTTTCCGCCGGACTAGGTGAATGTCCTTAACGAAATTAACATCTCGCCTTACCTATACCAACGAAAATTGCGAAATACTTTTAAACTTCACGGGTCTATGAACGCGCCCCAATAAAACACACAGAATTACACTTATAGCTTGTACAATTTAACGCATCGATGACGTCACAACCTGTATTGTGTGGAATAAAATATGAATTATTGCATTCGCTTTTAATCAAAACGATTTTCTATTTCCAGATAAATTTATTTGATTAACGATGTAAATGTATTTAATATGATTAAAGTCGGCCCAAATAAGGAAGGAGCGATTAATTAAATTTCCTATTTCCAATTAGTATAATTTGTTAATGCAAATTGCATCGCATTGTATGTAACGAGATAAATGGCATTTAAACATGTAAAAATGAATACCTTCTACAATGCACGTCCGATTAAAATTTATCTAATGGAACATTCCCAGCAATGAGTAAATTCCAGAAACCTATAAAAGTCATTAAAACCTTGCCATCTAATCTTTCAAAAATAAACTAAATCTTGCACCAGTAAACTTAAAAAAAACTTAAAACTTTAACCAGCACTCTCTAAATGTTATTTATGTTTTTTCCAGATCTGCTACTCTTCTATCCATCCATTGATATCTATTTAATTATACAGAAGACCAATAACAATATTGTAATTATTATATTTTTTCCAGATCTGATGTTCTACCATAAATATCCTTTTAGTCATACAAAAGAATAATATAAAAATTAATAAAAGTCATTAAAAATTAGCAAAATGTTAACTAACTCTTTTTTTTTTCGAAAAATAAAACAATTCTTACACCTACAAACTGTTAAAAAATTTATCTAGTACCTACTCCCTAAATGATATATTTATGTTTTTTTCAGATTTGCTATACTCTTCCATTCATCCATTAATATCCATTTAATCGTTTAGTAGTTTTTAATATTGATTATAAAAAGTCAATAAAAGTCATTAAATAAGTTTCAAAATTGTCTACTAACTCTTTTTTTTGCAGAAAAGCACAGAATATGGATCTTCAAACTTCTCGTAGAGCAGCCATTTAAATTCTTATTGTTCTGTTAATACCAAAATGATATAGAAAATTAATATTTTTACCGTTTTCCCAGGCGATTTTAATGAATTTTAATTTTATGATGCATTAATCAAGGTTTATTGCCGCAAAAGCTTTAGTGTTACAAATTACAATCGCCGTTTTTTCAATACCAATCAAAGCAGCGTTACGTTGAGCAGGTGCATTAATTACCTTTATTTTCGATGCGAAGGCCGAAAGCGTTCTCAAACCATCGGTTTAATTCATGCGTAAAGAGGAAAAAAATGATTTCGTATTGTTAAAGATGACTTTTTTTTCACATATCCCTGAAATTTGATTTATGTGGTTTGACGAATCGGTTGCGTGCAGACGATTTTCTCCCAACTTTAATCGCTTATCGACTTTCCTCAACTTCTCTAGAAGTTTTATCGAACTTTTATCGACATTTCAAAACTAGAAAGTTAGGATTTTTACTCTAATTTTTATAAAAAATCATATTTTTTTGTAACATATTCTATCTTAATATTTTTCCTTATACACATATTCTTGCAAGAACCGTATCGAAAATATTAGCGTGGATTTTGCAACGGTTGCATCGACCTTAAAAGCAACTTTTCGTCGTATCGGAGGCGCTTCGGTGTCGATAAAGGGGGGCAGAATCCCACGTGGGGAGCGGCCCCCACTTCCCCTAAAAAATTCTATTAATCCGGCTCTTTTGTTCGCTTTGCTCTCGCCTATAATTTTGATTACCAAACGCACTTCTCGTGCAGAAGTCCTCTAATTTCGTGGTCGATGGTCGACCGGCAAGTGCAGTCTCATTACGGAAAATTCGCCGCGGGAAATTCTCTCTAATCGAAGCTTCAGTGAGTGCCTTTTTTCATTTATTATTTTTTGTAAGAATATTGTACTTTTACCCCACCTAAATTTTAGGTGGGGTTATTTTGTAAATTTTTTTTAACAAGGGTTAAATATTTTTTGGTGTATTTTAGGGAAATTTTAGGGGAATTACTCGAAATATTTTTATTTATTTATTATTTTATTTTATTATTTTTATATACAAGGAGTCCGTGACACCGTTTAAAATTAAATAACTAACGACAGTAAATTTAATATGATTAATTAAAGTTGGCTATAAATCGTAAATTTTTTGAAATTATTGAATTAATTCACAATAATTTTACCATATAAATCAATCCTGTCGCCTTGCTTTCAATAATTATAATATAGTTCATTTATATTAATGTTTAAAAATTACAAAAATATTTAATTGAATTTGCACTAAGCACACCTTTTCTACACATTAGCATGAATTTTTCTATCAATTAAAAATCTAACGGACATAAATCTAGACCATAAAACGGATTGCTAAGGTAACTCGTTAAAATTGTCTACCAATTTCGCGCTAATTAATTTTTATATCAAAGGAGAGCTTATTAAAGGATACTTCAAGATCCATTGTGGTAACCTTCGCGGTGATTTCGCTAGCCATTGCAGCGTTAAAGCGAAGAAAAAAACGAGGCCTATACCTATTCTCAGCGACCTCTCGCACAGGAAACTTTTTGTTCACCGAATACCGAATTTAATTATCTATTTCCCAATCATATTCTCGTGTACATCGCGCATATTCTTATCCGATAATTAGATTGATCAAGGCAAGCATACAAAATATTAACAATACAATACTTTTATAGAGATATATATCATTAAATCTACTGAATTCATTCACATGATCAAGGATCAAAAGTGAAATCTGTTACCAGAATGCATCTTCTGAATGCATCTGCAATAATCGTTAAGTATTTGCAAAATTACCTAATATGAAATTTTCCATTCCCGGCCGTTTAACGACCGTTTCGTATTGCTTAAACGCCAAGATCCATAAAACTTACCAATTATTGCGTTAATACACGAGCGTTTGATGAAAGCGAAATATCGAGGTTATGAGGAATTTTTACATTTACACTCCATACAGGGTGCATAAATAATTACATATCTTTCAAACAATTTACCAGTACTAACATCATGGGATCAATTCCACAATTGTCGATCCTGAAAGGCCCCACCAGGATCCTGCACCCCAACACTCTGGACAACCTTCTGGAGGACATCGCGGGATCCCAGCAGGAGAACGACGTCGCTTTGATATTCGAGAGTAAGTACCAACACTACCCGTTTACCCAATAATCTCATTACACCACCCGATAGTTAACGGACAGATCAGGAAACACACCTTTTCTGAGATCAACCGAATGGCCAACAAACTCGCCAGGGCTTTGATCGAAATCATCACGACCAATAATCTCCAGAGGAACAACGACGGGGATTTCATCGTGGCGGTCGACATGCACCCCAGCGATCACCTGGTGATACTGTTGCTCGGTATCTGGAAATCTGGAGCAGCTTACTTACCTCTGGATCCGGCGTTTCCCGACGCCAGAGTGGAGCATATCGTGAAAGAAGCGAAACCGGTTCTAATTGTACACGAAACAGGTGAATTTATCTCGCTTATTATCGACAATAAGTTGGATTTCTTACAACAATCGTTGTAGATTCGAAATATTATTTGGGCACTCGCAAAATATCTTTCGAGCAATTGGTAGAGGATAGTAGAGATTATCCAGAGAGCGTAGTGATGAAAAACGAGAAGCTCAGGCACGCTAGAGATGACCTGGCTGTGGTTTTGTACACTTCTGGAAGTACCGGAGTACCGAAAGGTAACCGTTTTAAAACGAAAATAAACTCTCTTTTCATTTTCTTCTGAATATTAGGTGTGCGCTTGCCTCACAAGGTGATTTTGAACAGATTGCAATGGCAGTTTAGGAGGTTCCCTTACGGTGGTACCGAAAGCGTGTGCGTGTTCAAAACCGCCCTGACTTTCGTCGACAGCATAGCGGAAATATGGGGACCGCTTTTGAACGGCAGAGCTCTGCTGGTGGTACCCAAAATCGTAACGAAAGACCCCGAACGATTCATCAATCTTTTGGAAAATTACAAGGTCGAGAGATTGATTTTAGTACCATCGTTGCTACACACGATGTTAATGTATCTGGAGATGAATGTAAGTATGATACGAAAGCGTAATAAAGGTATCTAAAGAAGCTTGTTGTACGAGTAGTTGAGCAAAAGGTACCTACACAACCTCAAAACGTGGGTATGCTCCGGCGAAGCTTTGACCTCGTCGCTGGTGAAAGAATTCTTCAAGTACTTCCCCGAAAACGAGTACCAACTGTGCAACTTCTACGGCAGCACGGAGATGATGGGCGACGTCACCTACCACGTCCTGACCGGCACCCAACAGTTCGAGCGCAACGACCGAGTCCCGATCGGTGAGACCGATTCAATCCGAGTTTTTCCGTTTGTACATCGATCGATTTTCCAGGCGTTCCGCTCGACAACACCATCATTTACCTGCTCGACCAGGACTTCCGGCCGGTGAAAGCCGGCGACGTCGGCGAGCTCTTCGCCTCCGGCCTGAACCTGGCCAGCGGGTACGTGGACGGGCGCGATCCGGAGAAATTCCTCGACAATCCGTTAGCCATCGATCCCGCCTACGGGAAGCTGTATCGCACGGGGGACTACGCCCGATCGGAGAAGGGCCTGCTCTATTACGAGGGCCGCACGGATTCGCAGGTGAAAATCCGCGGCCATAGGGTGGATACCGCCGAGGTGGAGAAGGCCGTCAACTCGCTGGAAGGGGTACTAAATCATCACCAAATTCTTGGTAATTGATGTTGTAATTGCGACAATTTGCAGGTGGAAAAAGGGGTGGTTTTGTGCCACAAACCGGGCGAAATAAACCAGAGTCTTCTGGCTTTCGTGGTTACGGAGAGCCCGCTCAACGAGCAGCAAATCGAAGACATACTGAAGGCCAAACTGGCCTCTTACATGATACCGCACGTAATTCTAGTGGAGAAAATCCCGTTGTTGATAAACGGGAAAATCGATAGGCAGTACTTGTTGCAATCGTACGAGAAAACCCAAGGGAACCAAGAAGATGCGCAGCCGATTAAAATCAACTACGATTTCGTGCCGGCGGATCAAATGAAAGCGGCAAAAGTATTGTTTGAGACTGTCGCGAGTGTGCTAAACGCCACTGTAAGGAGAGAAATATCGATAAACACGAATTTCTTCGATATCGGAGGAAACTCCTTGAATTCCATATACACCATTTCAAAATTAAGCGAGCAGGGTTACCATATAAGTAAGTACTAATATCATTAAAATATCCCAAATTAAAACATTATTTGTAGGAATAGGAGACTTCCTCTCTGCTATGGACTTCGGGGAAGTACTATTACGCATGACATCAGATACATCGATGAACATACAAGTACCCAGTTACTCCTGGGAGTTCCTGAAGCCAACTTACAAAAGCATTGTAAACGAGTAAGTTGGTGGGTTTGATATACGCGAGTACATGCGGTGGTAATTGGTGGATTTTTTTAGTATGGTAACGACGAGTTTCTACGAAAAAGCGGACCTGGAGCAATGGATAATATCCGAAATCTCCCCGGCCGATTACTCGGAGTTGATAGACGAGCTGTGGGCGCCGCTGGTGGAGCAAAATTTGAGTTTCATCGTGAAGAACGAGCACGGCAAAATCGTCGGCGTCGCTTTGAATTTCGACGCGCGGGACGAGCCCGACGTCGAGATCCGATCGAAATTGACTGTGATATTCGAGTTCTTGGAGTCCCTAGAAGGGCCCATCAGGTACTCGCTCGGCTGTGGCGATTTTTATTCCGCTAACTCGACGAGTGTAATTTCAGGGACGCCCAATTACCGCCCGGCAAGGGCGTCGTTTTGCACTCCTTCATGATGGCCACCCACGCGTCGCTGTCGCCCAAGGAAAACGTGGCCGTGATGCAATTTATTGAAGGGGAATTGATCAAAATCGCCAGAGGAAGGCACTTTAGGGGGATATTCACCACGAACACCAACCCGCTTACTCAGGTAAATTCGTTAGTTATTATCTACATATGGGTAAGTGCAATATCATCAATTATACGAGATGAATAAAGAAAAATGATTGAAATAACAGTGGTTAGAGTAAGAAAGTTGCAATTCCACAATATCACTTTCTTCTTCCTTTATATGAAACTAATGGAAGTTGTATATCAAAATATACATTAATTTTCTTTGATTACAGCAATTAAGTGCTGTTTATAATTACCAAACATTGTTGGATTATCAAGTGAATCAATTCGTGGCGAGTGATAACACGAAACCATTCGGTTTGGCGCCGGACGAGCAGAGGGCTGTGGTGAATTGGAAACCGTTGGATTGAAACTGTGATTTGGGATGAATCAGAAAGCCGTGATTTCAACTAATTTCGTTAATTTATAAAATTAAACTATTGCTTACTATGTAGGAATAATTAGTCCGCTTTCGGAATTTCTCCACTTACGTAGTACATGTAAAATAAATGTATAGTATTAGATTTTAAGGGCTTCCGAATAGTTTCTAGCGAAATGTTCAATAAAATAAAATCAAACCTTTATCGTTATCGAATAATACACAATAACTTACTTTTATTAAAAACTAAAATGAACTTCACAAAATTCCCTTATATCAGTTATATTCATTATTAAAAATAATAAAAACACTACATTAATACAAAAATCGGTTTAATAGACTGCGAATTATCGTATTATTTACAACAAAATCGAGTGGCTGACAGTACTAAATATCTAAAAACTTATATTTAATCATCCCGGTGGAATAAAATTAAATTGACAAAAAGAATTCTTAAGGTAAACAATTAAAAAAAAGGGTTCAGTTCATTATGTATTACAGTTTGCGCATTAACAACTCAGAAATTGATAAGAATTAAAAAAAAAGAACTAAGTTTTTTTTAAAAAAATTAAAGTAGAACGAGGTAATTAATTTTACTTTTTAGCGGCTTTTGCATTATTTTTGACCGGAGCCTTCCCCTTAGAGTTAGTCGACTTTGCTTTTTTCGTTTTTGGTTCATCTTCCTCTTCGTCTTCCTCCTGTAAAGACAAAAAATTTATCATGAAAACGAACCATTTCTCTATTTAACTGTCTATCGTTTGCGCACCTTTACTTTTCCATTTGAAATTTTCCGTTTTCTATTACCGCTCTCCTAAAAAAACGGGAATTTGTAAATAATTGTGCCAAGATAAACAATACCACTTTCAACTGCTTTCGCAAACGAACGCAGCATCCACAACACACGATTATCCCATCGATTAAATATACTGATCGTTACAACCCGTACGAAAAATTAAAGGAATAATAATATTGTTAGAATGTAAGTGGAAAACGGAATTTCATAGAAAAAAGGTTTAATACAATAAGAGCAGCAGTACTACTAAAAATTTACTTTTCTATTAGCACTGCCTAATTATTCATGCAAATAAGACTTGTATAGTTTGTTTACGTACAGTGTGTCCCACATAAAATATGTTGTTTAACCAGACTTAACATAACACAGCCAACTATTCAATTAGTTTTAAAATGAAATAAACCAATAATTTTTTAAATCATCCATCAGGTAAAAGAATTCTGTAACATTTTAGGGGATATCTCTCCTAGCTATCCATTAATCCAAATTTAGTTGTTTCAAGTATTACTGGAACATTTTTTATTTGTAACCCCACTTTAAAGGCCTATAACTTTTCAGGAATGTAACTTTGTGTTAAGCTAAGAGGATTTAAACAACATATTATAGGCACCCCTACACTCCCCTGCTCTAATGCGGGACACTCTGTATAGAAAATCACACCCCACTGTTCGTCGAATTTAACGAACCCTTATTAATAGAAAAATAAAGTGGTGCAAAACTACCAACAAGCCAATTTTTTCTCAACCCATCCGTCGAACCATCGACAACACCTCGTGTACTTTTTCCGAAATAAAAATAAAAAACAAAAACTTACAGCGCCCTCTTCTCCTTCTTCGTCAAACATTTCCTCTTCCAATTCGTCCATTTCATCAAATTCCTCTATCGGGCTACCGATTAAATGGTGTCCGATTATGTGAACGGGCCCGCTACCTTGGATGAGAGAGAATGTGACTGGTGGATCGGGAAACGAGAGATCTAACAATACTTGGTTATTTGGACCGCCTGCCTTCAATGTGGCTACTGGTATTTTTACCGAGTCTTTCCACGTCATTGCCTCTACTTGGACTACGTTTATTTCGCCTAAAACAAATTATTTATTATTAAATATCCTATTCAATTAATTAACATTAACGAACTATAGGGACTTTAGTAAATTATAAATGTTACCACAAAACTCCCTAGATTTCCAGAGCCTACTGTTATTTAAATCGGGTAACATGTAAACAATTCGAAAAGGTCAAAAGAAGAATTTTGAGGTTATGTATACTTTAACAAATAGCGAATGCCTAACAATAAAAATAACATTCCTAACCTATGTTTTGAACTTATGGAAAAAATTTTATTTTAATATAAGCGTAAAAAAGAGGTAATTAAAAGTAGCTACTCTGCGAGCTTGGTCAATTGGAAATGGCGATAAAACTGGGCGGACAAACGTGCATTGAAAAATAAATAAATTTGTAAACAACCGAATTAAACGCTAAATTACTTGCTAAATTCAATTTAAAATAAAATCGACTCACCTTCGGTGGCTTCGGGCCCCAATAACGCTTGTTTAATAATGAGCTTGTGTCCTCCTTGGTAGTCTTCTGCTCCCTTTGCTTCTGGATCCCATACCTCGCTATTTTTTCCTTTGAGTGTTAGGGCTGCAAAACGAACAGAAACGACCGTTGCGATTAATTGCGAAAAATTAGCTGGACATTGCCGATTTAACTACTAATGGCGCGCAAACGCCGGCTTACTGAACGGCACAAACTACGGGCAATACAAACTAAACGAATGCGAGACGTTTACGCAAAAATACAAATCGATTTCGATTAACGGAACGTTCATCTTACCGAAGAAATATTCATCTGCCATTTTTTATAATAGATGTTTCCGATTTTTTTAGTAATATTAAACCACCGGCAAACACCAAACGGGTCGAACTTGAAAAGAGATTGTTGAGTTCGTTTTGTAATGGCACTAGAGACAAGCGGCGAAGAGGGCGCTGGCGTATTGACAGGTAATGACAGTGTCTAACGTTACGTTTACGGGTATCTAACAATAGATAATTTTACGTTATTTTTAATTTATAACATCAAAATTGGCTTTAAGCAGCGTTTATAATTATTGATAATGCAATAATTATATTAGTTATTGTTAATATTACCATGGTTTGTGTGATAAAATTATACAGACGGGGTTGTATGTTTAGGCAACATTTTTAAAAGTTCGATAATTAGAGAATACTCTAATATTTAGTATGTATAGTTGTCATCTAATTTTTATAGATTTGATAAGATGGCGCCACTTATTTTTTTTTATTATTTTTTTTTTAATTTATATTATTATTATTAATAATAATTATTACTGATGTAAACTAGTTACTGCAGGACAAAATGGTACCAAAATATTGGTAAAACTATGTAATAGGATTTACAGGGGGTGCACTAAATATGCTTAAAATTTTGAATTTTTGCTTTCTATTGTAATAGTTTAATTTTCGTTATTTTCTCAATCAATTAAACTCATATTTGTTTGTTAAAAATTAATTAATTACTTTCTCAATGATCGCAAAAAAACGTGGCAAACACCTTTAATTAAAGTAGCTCGTCAATAATAATTAAGTCGAGTAAATGGCCTTTAGAATCGGTAAAAAAAGAGAAATAAACAATAAAAGTGAGCAGAAAACCAGTTTGAATTATTTTAACGCTAACCATCTAACGAATCCCATCAATTCCTTGGAAAACGACCCGATTTAAATTCAAGATCGACCGCTGTTGAGGCCAGTATATTGTTAAACAATCTCATTCGCACATTAACAAGACAATGGCTCTTACGCTGGTTTTTGCGCTTACTGTGGTAATAAGCAGTCTCGGGGTATTGGAAGCCAGGCAGCTGCGTAAGTAATTATTTCATTTTTTTTACAAATATTAAAGTATTAGGCCAGTTATTACATATTGAAGACCATTACATGAATCGAATTGATCTTACTTTTAGTTGACCTTTATAGAGAAAGTGTCACTTGGTTAATCTGAAGATATACTGAGTGACAAAAGTAAAAGAACACCAAGAAGTAAATTTTATTTTTCATTCAAACTGTAGAGAGTGTGTACAGCACCGCGGTGGTGCAACACATTATTAATTTTTTTATTAAGTTTTGTTGTTAATTTGATGAATTAATTTTAATCATTTGTTTATTTTTCTCTTATACATGTAACTAGAATAAATGGTTAAATTTCAACAACTATTTTTTGGTGTTCTTTCACTTTTGTCACTCAGTATATATCCTTTGACAGGCGATATTTGTTTTATTAATTTTATTTTTGCTTCGGGTTTATTATGGTTTATATAAAACTATTTAAAGGGGTCGTAGGTAAAGTGAGGGTGTTCCACTTTCCCCACATGTTTATACAAGGACGATAGAGATAAAAATGTCGCAATATTTATATTACATTATACAATGATTCACATAATTGTTTTGCGAAGACATTAACTAGCAAATTTTATAAATAGGAAATTTACATGTATAGTGATTTGTTTACCTATAATCGCTTTTTGTTGAAGATAAATTGTTTCATTATTTTTTATGACGCCTATTCTAATAAATAAAAAAATGCCGGTTGAATAACAAACACATAACCTTGAAGATTCAATTAAAAAACAAATATATTTATAATTAATATACAACTAATAGGTCATTTCTGCACTCAACATTACCTAATTAAACAAATTAAAACGACAATGTATTGAAATATATTGTTCTTACTCATAGTGCGATAGAAAATAGCCGCAGACGTGAGATTCGCTATTTTGTTTAAATCATTTATTATTTTACTTGTTGCAGCTTCTTATATTAAACCGTGCAGTAAAAGCGACCCGGAGCTGAACAAATGTATAAAAGAAAGGGCCATCGAGGTCCTTCCGAGGATTTTACAAGGTAAATTTGACAGAATTAACGTGAGTCAATCTATCTAGAATTTTTTCAGGCGATAAATCGTATAAGATACCGAGTTTTTCACCCTTCCGCATCCCCCTTATAGACGTTAAGGGCAGCTCGGGGTTGTCGTTTCAATTGAAGGATTTGGAATTGGACGGTTTGAATACCACTGAAATAAGAACTATCAAGTGAGATGCACGTAAAATGCAAAAATATCGACAATACAACGTTTGATTTTTTCTAGTTTTGATATACCGAATAAGAAAATATCCGTAGAAGTGTTCATAAAAGACACCAAAATGAACGGCAGGTATTCGGTGGATGGGAAAATATTTTCCTTGTCTTTGAAAGGGGAAGGACCGGCAAATTTCAATTCTGGTTAATTTAATTAGATAATATACTTAATAGATTAATAACTGGTATTCATTTTCAGAAAACGTAACAGTACATTATACTATCGACTACGAATTGATCTTCAAAAATAACAAGAACTTCATCGACATTAACAATTTCAAGACGAATTTGGATCTGGACATTGCCAAGACACATTACTATTTTGGAAATTTGTTCGGCGGTAACAAATTATTAGGTAGAGAAATTTTTGATATAGCGTAAAATTTATTGATTTATTAACGTTGATTTAATATTTGTAGGAGATAATTTGAATCAATTGCTCAACGACAATCCCAAGGAAGTGGACGAATTATCAGGAGATGCTAACAAAGTGATAATCAACAGCATCGTGTCCAGTCTTTTCACCGCCCTCTTCAAAATCGTGTCTTTCGACGAAATCTTCGTGGATTAATCTACCGTTTTACGACCGACATTTTGTGATAAGTAGTTTGTAATTATTAGATTGTATTTACATGTATTATTAAATTTTATGGCATTACATTCTATCTTGTTAGTGAAACGAAGAAATAGCTGATTTCAACTAAAAAACGAATCTTTATTGGCCCGGAACTACAACAAAACGAAAAAGAACAAACAAAAAATAGGCGTTTCCTACGATTCTCTTCATTCCTATCTCATCTAATAGTTTAATTCAAATCGTTATTCTTCTTTGCGCCGTTGCAAACGTCCTTGGTGTTGTCCTCAAGGGCTTGGTGCAGATTGAGGAACACCGTTCTGGTGATGATGTTGGTGCAAGTGGCGTTGTGGATGTCCTTCGAGCAGGTTCTCAACTTGGGCAACAATCTAACCGCAATGATTCATTAATTTAATTCTAAAATTTTTAGGAAGTTACTTACGAGCAGACGAATTCCTTGGAAGGCATTTTATTTCTGAAGGTTTGCACGGTGTTCGCCACCTCCTGGCAGGACGGGAACGAGGACACGTTTTTGCTGAATTGGCAAGGATTGAAGAATTCTAAAATCAAATTTGGTTAAATCCTACATAAAATTGAATGTGATTGTTTTACCCAGAATTTCCTCCATAGTGGAGCTGCAAGCTTGCTTGATGATGGTGATGAAGATCCTTTCTAGCACCAAAGGTAGTTCCTTGGATTCCTGCGGAAGGCAGCTGACCATCAGTTCCCTTACCGGCTTGGTGCAGGGGACGATGTTCGTTTTCAGTATGGTGCAAATGGTGTTGGGGCCGATTTTGATTTCCTCCGTGCACTTTTGCACTTCGATCATTGTAGCCTAAGATTCGTTTATGTTTTATAAAGAAGCGGCTGAAGGGGTAGGTCGACTTACGTTGAGTTTCGCGTCCAAATCGGGGCAGTTCTTCTTGGTTTTGTCCGCCATTTCGATGATGTCGTTGAACAACGACAGATCGGAGGCTTTGTCTTCCAGGAAATCGGTCACCAATTTTTGCACCTCATTCTCCTCGCTTTTGCCGTACACGAAGCTCCCTAAATGCAAAAATCCCCACTGTAAATCGCCCTCGAAACCGCCCAATGAGTTCCTTACCTATTAGCAAAACAGCGAACGCCAGAGGAAAACCCTTCATTTTTGCTCGACAGGAAAATACCTCGCAGTAAATCAACCGGATAACTGTGAGAATTTTATGTCAATACAAAATAAATGTACTCGCCACCAGTTGGGTCGGCTGAAAGCCAATTTTCGAATTAGCTTGTTGAGTTCTTGAAAATGCTTTTCGTTAGGGCGATTGGAATTACGCTCAATGGCGTATCCAACGCGATTTTTCTGCTCATCGGGATTATTCTATAGCAGCAAATGCATATAATTTACTACAACAAAACTGGGATTATTCCTACCAATAGGTTTTTTTAATAAAGGGTGGCTGAAGCAAGAAGTAAATCACCAAAACAATTCTTGTGGGATTCAAATTGGACGCGCCGCTGTTCAATTACCTTCAGGATGTGCTGGCAAAAGTAATTTTAAATTAAATAAATGCCTCCCATTATTCTATTCCACCATCAAACCCGGTTGTTTAACGAATACATTTATTGTTCATTTACATCCAGGATAAGAGATTTAATGCAAAGAAAATGGTGGAAATGCTACGAATGCATAGGAAAGGAATATAAATATATAATATAAAATACTAGTTAAATTAAAAAAAACTTTAATATTATATACAAATAGTTAAATTTAGGCTTTGTTGAGGGCATCGCATTCGTCCTTGGTGGCGACGTCGATGGCGTTGTAGAATTTGTTGACAGAGTTCCTGGTGACGGTGTTCTTGCAGGAGTTGTCCAAGATGGTCTTAGCGCAGTTCTTAGCTTTCGGGATGATGCTACAACAAAAACAAGGCGATTAATACACCAATTCGAGTTTATTGCAGCTAAATACTCACGAGCAAACGAGCGATTTGGACGGCATCTTGTTGGCGTGTTGTTGCACGGCGTTCTTGACGGCTTTGCAGGAGTCGAAGGATTCGGGGTCGTTCTCCAAAGCGCAAGGGTTGAACAATTCTGCAAATACGCAATTGATTAGTAAAGCTCGCAGTAAGCGGTGAACGGGCGGAAGTACCCAAGAGTTCCTCCACGGTGGAGCTGCAGGCGTTGTCGATCAAGGCGACGACGATCTTCTCGAAGAGAGCGGGCAAGCTCTTGGACTCTTCAGGCAGGCAGGAAACGACCAGGTCGCGCGCGGGTTTCGTGCACTTGGCGTAGTTCTTCTTGATGAGGGAGCAGAAGGTGTCGGAGCCCAGCTCGATGTCGTCCGCGCAGCTCATTATTTCTTCCATCACCGACTGTAATGTTTGGAAATTGAAGAGGTGTTTCGGAGGATCGTGCGGGAAACGCTTACCTCGGCTTTGTCTTCGATGTCGGGGCATTTGGATTTAGCTTCATCGATGAGTTTCATTATGTCGAGGAGCAACGTGGTGTTGTATTTGTCTCTGATGGACTCGGCCAGTTCCCTCAAGTCCTCGCTGGAGGATGAGTCCTTACCTCCGGGGGCGGCATTTGCGAGTGCTACAATTTACAAAAGATTTATAGATTTTAGGACTTGTTAGTTGGAAACTAACCAATAGTATAGTAAAAAATATTTGAGAATTCTTACCAAGAGCGCATAAGGCGACGATGAAGAATTTGTTCATTTTGGTGTCGAGTTTTGAATCGAAATCGATTTTCTATCGGAGTGTCTAGCTCTTTTATAGCCAATTGTGGCGATCCTTATAAACAAGATTAATTAGAAGAACGATAAGAAAGTTTTGGTTTTCGGAATCCAATTAACCTCGCGATAAGGGAGCGATAGAAAAGCGAAAAAGTCAGCGGAATCGATCGAATTTTTTCCGACTAAACGATATACGCTAAACTTGCTGTTATTGTTGATTCCAATTTTTTTTGTGATTTAGCAATAATAGTTCGAGGACATTTCTGTTACTAGAAAAGATAAACTAATCAATGTACGATGAAAATTTTGTAATCCAACAGTTAAGTGATTTATTGTGAATTAATTGAAGGACCCAATTAGACAAGAATTCCAGAACTCCAATGAGACAAAAAACTGAAGGATCTAATTAGTAATTTGCTCTTTATTTTTATTAATAAGATTCAAGGACCCAGAAACTTAAAAAACCAAGATAAGAAATTCAAGATCTCAAAAGGATTCGAAGGAGCTATAAACGGACTCAAGAATATAATTATTGTGGAGGTGAATAATCATTTATTATTAAGTTTTTATACTGAATACTTTTTAGATAATTTTCTTAATTGATTATTATTAGTACCCATTTTAATAATTTCTAAGAAAAATTCTTTTATAATTTGATTTTTGGTACGTTTTCAAAATTTACTAACATCGTACTTTTTCCTGCTACAAATCCAACTAGAATAACACCCTATTTTTCTTAGGTAAACTTAAAAAATTAAAATAAACTTTAAATAAGAAGATAAAAATTTATTTAAATATATTGTAAAAAAATCATAAGTTTAGGCAGTGTTGAGAGCATCGCATTCGGTTTTCAAAGAGTTTTCCACGGCATTGTGGAATTTAGTGACAATGTTTCTGGTCACGGAGTTCTTGCAGACCTGTTGCATAACAGCTTCCTCGCAGGTGTGCATCTTGGGCAAGATCCTGCAATGACAAACAGGCATTTACTTTGGAGAAATTCCACGTAAACACAGTGTGATACTCACTCGCAGATAAGAGAGTTGCTGGGAAGTTTGTTCTTGTGCTGAACGATGGCGGTTTTCACTTGCTTGCAAGCAGGAGTCTTCGAGAAGTTCTCGTGGTGCATAGCTTGCATCTGGCAGGGGTTGAACAATTCTGCAATGCAAATAAGAGTTATAAATTAATAGAATTTGAGAGTAACGAAATTATACTCGCCTAAAACTTCTTCAACAGTTGATTGACAAGCTGTGTTAACCAAGGCAACGATGACTTTTCCAACCATTACTGGAAGGTCCTTGGACTCTTCGGGCATGCAGGACACCATCACGTCCCTGACGGGTTTGAAGCATTGCATGAAATTCTCTTTGACCAACGTGCAGATGGTCTTAGAGCCCAATTCGATGTTTTCGATGCAAGCGCTTACTTTTTCTCCTACGCTCTGTGAAATTTCGGTTCATTTTTGGCGATGTTCGAGGGATTGTTTTAGAAACTTACGTCCAGTTTGTCCTCCAAGTGGGGGCATTTTTCGTTTACTTTATCGGCCAATTTGAGGAGGTCGAGCAGGATGGTGGTGTTGTATTTTGCGCGGATGGATTGAGCCATTTTTTTGATTTCCATGACGGCTTCTTCGGAGGTGACATCTTCCTCTTTCTTGGGTTTAGCGCAAACCAAAGCTGGAAGAGCGCAGGAGGTGAAAATCTCGAAAAACTCGCGGAAAATTGCAGTGGAAACTTACCGGAGGCGCACAGGAGTACGGTGAAGAAGGCGAGTTTGTTCATGTTGAATTGGTTACTTGGACTGATTGTGATTTTTTTTGGATTTTTGGGGACTTTTTATACATGTTTGCACGTAAAAATAAAGTCAAAAGTCAACGCTTTAACGCAGATAGAATATCAGGTTGTTGATAACTTAGGTGGATAATTTTAGGTAATTAAAATATAATACATGAATAGAATTCAATATATATTTTTCAAAAAATACGACAAATTAGAAATGAGCATTTTACACTTTGTTTACGGCATCGCATTCGGTTTTGACTGATTTCTCCAACGCTTGGTACATTTTGTTGTGAATTGTTTTGGTGATGGCATTCGAACAGGACTTGTCCAAAACAGCCTTCATGCATCCCCTGACTTTCGGCATGGTCCTGTAAAAAAATATTTCTCAAAATGCAAAATTTTCCGAGTTTTTCGCGAATACTCACTGGCAGATCAGAGACTTCGTGACTTCCTGGGACTTGTGGTCTTCCATTTGTTTCAAGACCTTCTTGCACTCCTCGATTTTCGTCGGGTCCCCTTCCATTTTACAGGGATTGAGCAATTCTGAAAAAGCGCAATTAAATTCGCCATCACATCCAAAGAACCCATTCGGGTCGACGTTAATAATTTCGTTTTAATTCGAAAATTGCACTTGAACTTTGTATAAACCAATCGAAGTCAATTGGACTAAAATAGGGGGATCCGAAAGGATGCATTCCAACGGCAATTTTTTAATTTAGAACGGTTTCTAGCTAATCTATTTATATCGAAAATCGCTTTCGCAATTCACTATTTAATAACAATTGTTTCTTATAGAAACTTATCAGTTCTTATAACTCATAAGTAAAATATCGCAAAACTTAGTAACTATTAGTTACATCAGTTAATACTACTATAGAAGAAATATTGAAATAATTGATTTGGATCTATGGAAACCATCTAGGGTAACCAAATTCGGAACCAACAAGGTCCCATCAAAGACCAGCAAGGTCCCTGCAAGGCTTCCTCCACAAGAAGAAATAAATTTGGCTCAATGAAAACCTCCTAGGGTTAGCAGCAGAAGAAGAGATCTCCTAATCGTGTTCTTACAACATCCCGGGCAATCTCGAGAAACCTGCTTACCCAGCATCTCCTCGACGGTGGAGGCGCAGGCCTCGACGATGACGGCCTTGACCATCTTCAGCACCATCTCGGGCACGTCCTTGGATTCGTCGGGAGAGCAGGCGTCCATCACCTCCTTCATGGGCTTGGTGCATTCGTCGAAGTTCTTCACGATCAGCGAGCAGAAGGTGTCGGAGCCCAGCGTGATTTTGTCGGCGCACTCTCCGACGCTGGTCAACATGTTCTGCAAGGACCAGATGGAGAATTATTGGAGGGTTAAGTTGGTGAAGAGGTATTTGTATTTACCTTCATTTTATCTTCAATGTCGGGGCATTTGGCCTTGACTTTGTCGCCGGCGGCGAAGACGTCCTCGAGGAAGGTGGCGTTGAATTTTTCGCCAATTGCCTGTACGATATCTTTGATGTTGTCTTCTATGGAGTCTTTCGAAGCATCATCGGCGCGTGTGAAAGCTTAAAATGCATGTAGAAAATAGTAGATGGATCGATGTCGATCAGAAAATGTAAACTTACCCAAAGCTAACACGAATACGGCTAAAATTCCAACTGATCTCATAGTGAATGATTTTTTCCTTCCGGTTACTCGTCGGGGTTTTCGTCTGGCTTTTGTACAGCAAAATCGGTCTTTATATAGTTTTCTAGTCTTGTTTGTTGCAATAGATAGGGATTTTTTGTTAAATCGAGATAATGATTGATATACATAGGTATTTTTTGGTTTTTACTAAGAGAAGCGATAAACAATAAATGCTAACCAAGCGCTATTATTGGTTTTGTTTTATCGACGGAATTGCGAAATAGCAACGAAATTTATATAATTTGTTAATTATGGCGATTTTCTTTAAAGTTTTTGTGGGAAAATAGAATCGCTCGATGGTAAATAATATATCGTATAAATATTTTGATCGATCTGCGGGTCAAATCAGTCGTTAAAGAGAATAGAGTAAGGTGAGATTAATTCGAATTTAATCGTAAGTATTTTCCATAATTAATTTTGACGTCATTTCTTTTAATTTTTGCACATTCGCTTTTTAATTATATAATTTTTTGCATAAATTTTCGAATCAACTCCACCATCTAGGGAAAATTATTAACCTTGCAGTGGCAGAAAAATAAATTACATTTATAAAATTCGGAGTATTTTATGAATTGTTCCTCGTTACTCAATAAACAGCTTTATCGCAGAGTGTGATATAATTGTTGTTCTGGAAATTTAACAGGGAATTAGCTGATAGTGAAATTATTATTGTTTTACACAAATCTCTGGTCAATACTATACCGGGTGTCCCAAACGCAATTTGATGCAAAATTGCATCAGAAAAATTTGGAACAATCAATGAAAAATCATCGAAAAAATAAGAAAATAATTAGCAAAATTGCAATGAATTATTTACAAGAAATAAACGATTATTAATTTTATATCGATTTTTTTGGAAAAAGTACTTAAGTGGTTTGTTCTGGAAAATCTATACAGCTTGTTGTTAAGGGTAGAGGTGAAACATTTCGATAACCTTGAAGATGCGATTTCAATGAATATTTTCGTTATGTAAAACACCCGTCGCTCCAAATAACAAAATTGATAAGCAAGGTCATGAATTCTGCTCCTCGACGATCGAAAAATACTCTGGCCATTGATTATACATATTTATTCCATAGATACAACTTGAGGTCGTGAGCCTGGAACTTTCCAAAACTCCATGTAAAGGCCTCAGAAATCCTTTTATTGAGACATCAAAGACATTACAGCAGTAACTTCAAAAACGACTGATGAATCAGACTGGTGCATAATGAACCAGAAAATAATTTTCTTGGTACTCTAGGTAGACCTCGAATATTATGGTAGATCGGTATCATTACTTTTATTTATTTTAATATTAAAACACCATTGATATCCTCTTTACTGTGACCTTAATTATTGTCTAATATCGGTATAATTAGAGGTAGAAAATTAAAATGGGTTACTTTGTTGTGGAAATATTAGGAAAGTGTGTTAATAAAATTCGAAAATTCGACAGATTACAGAAAGCGTATTTTTCCGATTTGTAAATAAATATTGGTAATGTCGACGATATCGCTAGAAATATTTTTAAATTTATGCGGGCTTGAACTCTATACTTGATCTTAGAAAAACTAGGCTAATTATATAATTACATAACATGTACCACCGAGAGAAAACAAATTTTCATATCAATTTTTTTTATATTAAACGCATATTACAGCATAATATTTCCCTATACATACAATAATTAAAACTAGGATCGCAGTAAGCTCTGCGTATAAAACACCGATTCGACATCGCGTTCTCCATGAGTACCTACAGGTGTTAAATTAAATCTAGTTATCGTCGACGCGGTTATGTAAATAGCCTTGTACTGTATGCACCATTTGCTTCTGTAGGACGATAACATCAATGCGTTTTTTCATACAAAACGACGAATACTAAGGTTAATTTGGTAAATAAATTTTTTAAATTTTCTAATACTACATATTCCCGAGCCTTCACCCACTTCGGAAGCGGCGATAAAGCATTCTTATTCGACTTAAAGACGCATTGTTATAGCGTTTCTTAACCTTGCAGTTGGGAAAATTTAAGGAAGGTTGCGAGAAATTTGCATAGATAACGAACATAACTATCATTTTAATAGATAGGCGAACGTTGTTTTTTTTTTAATATTTCACTAAATTAATCGAAAATCGCCACATTTGCGGATCCAGCGCAGCTAACTTATATTAACGGGGGAATCCCTTAACCGGAAACTTAGAGAGGCGCGTATTAAATTTCATAACCGCTATCACTATGTGAAATTGATTGCTTCATTTTCTTTTAATTGACGGCTAATCGAGAAATCAGTCAACTAAGGAAAAGTAATGACAGTTTCGCTCGATTGCGAGCGAATTAAATATGAAAATTGTGCAATAATAACGTGCATTGACGACGAAAGAAGCAGAAGAGGAAGAGAGAGTTGCACAAGATTAAATATAGTGAGGCTTGTTGAATTTTTCGTAGGAAATCCTATTGGGTTTCATCATTTATTTTATAATGTTTCCAGAAGTGTAATTTAATGGAAGAAAATTGCGTTTTATTTATAGATTATAGTGATGAATATTAATGCACTGTGCGCGTGAATTTCGTCAAAATAACGCGTTTATGGAGTTGAATGGTACACAAAAGAATTAATTAGCATTGTTTATCAAGTTTAATTTTCAAAACAACATTAGTAATAGCTAGGCGGTGTTGGAAAATTCCAATTTTCCCAGACAATTCTACTGAATATTTAAATAACAAATTCTTATGGGTATATTGCATTCTTTTGGCTATACCGATTTTTTCAACAAAATTTTCAAAAACTGTAATATACTGTTGCACAAAAGTTAAGGAAGTTCGCAAATTTGGCGATTATTTAAAAAGTTACAGACTTTTTGATCACCAAATTTTCAAATATGCGAAATTAAATGTTTTCTCTCATAACTGAGTGGATTTTTTGCCCCTATCTCTATAACTTATAGTTAATTTGGCGATCAAAAAACCTGCAACTTTTAAATTAATCTCAATATTTGTGAACTTCCTTAACTTTTGTGGAGCAGTAAACTTTAACTACCTCAAGAAACTTTAAATAATCAGTTATTTTCAATTATATCATCGTTTAACTATTATTAGGTAGTACCGCATTATTCCATTAGGTACCAATTTTCCACCGAGTAATTTTTGCATATACTAACGCGATCAGTACCAGCAGATCACCGGCTGTTTCGAAACAATTCCTGACCGAAATCGAACGAAAGCGATAGGATCGGGTACCACCACTTTCGGCCCGCCTATACAAAGTACCATCGAATCGACGATGGGCGAATTCGTCCATCGTTCTCCGCGGGTTTTTTCGTATCGCGAGCGGAACCTTCGCGTAAGGTACTCGTCCTCGCGAAAATGAACTAACCTAATCATGTGCGTTTGCAGTACCCGACAATATGAACTTATTCGCTATTTGGTGTTTGTGTTCGATTAATTTAGTACTAGGTATGTTTTTTATTATACTTTTAATTTGTAGTACACTACACGATTTTTTAAAGCATACTTTATCTTAGATTCACAGCATGTTCATACATTATTTTTTCCCGTCTAAGTATTTCCAATGCACGTTATTTGCTAGCCTGCGTTATCTTATATATTTCTACAATATCTTACAGCATTCATATACATTATCTTACACCATTTTATACATTATCTTACAAACTTAATACATTATCTTATTGCAGGTGCTAATATACTGAATTGCCCGCCGGAGGGGGTGAAATTCGAGAAAGTCCTGGGCCTTCGTCCGGCGAATTCCTCGCGACCGGAGCTCCTGCATCGGTCCCCGTCGACGGCGACTCCGGTGACTCTGGAATGCATCGCCAAGTGCCAGGCGAACCAGGAATGCGCCAGCTTCGTGTTGTACTACGGCTCCGCCACGTGCTACTGGTACCGGAGCATCGCGAACGCCACCGAAGAGGATAATGTTATCGACGAAAATTCGGCTTGGTTCGTCAAGAAGTGCTTCTCTAACGGTAAGATAATGCTTCGAGATGTACACGATAATGTCGTAAAAATTAGATAATGTATGCAGTGGGCGAGATAATGTTTTATACATATTAGGTGTTGTAGCGTTTCGAATCGCTGTAAATTTTAATGGTTTTCGCTATTATCTACTAAAATAAAAATAACGTATAGCCGTTCAAGGCCGCGTTAACATGATAGTAAGTACGAAATACGTTAATTAGTAAAATAAATTACTCATCATCGGCTGAAATATTCAGCGACAATTACCATTGAATGCGGAGGAGGATTTTATGGAAAATCGAGTTAATTTTCAGATGGGTCGTGCGGGAAATTGTGGATTTTCGAGCGGATTCCGGGCGCTACGCTGATAGGCAACGATACGAAGGAGGTACCGGGAGCGGTGACGAGAAGCGAGTGCGAACGGTACTGCCTCGACGAGACCCAATTCACGTGCAGATCTGCCAAATTCGCGATAATGGACGGTGCGCCCAGCTATTACGATATGGGTTGGTACCAATCAGACCGGTAAAATGATCGAATACGTTCGATTTCCTACCGGAAAATCGTCTGCGATCTAATAAAATATGTTCCTAATAATTTTATCTAGGCGGAGTTAAAGGAAGGTGCATCCTAAGCGACGCCGATAGACACCAGCTACCCTCCTCCTTCAGGGTGTCGAGTTACAGCGATGAATATATCGAGAACCAATGCGCTCCAAGCACCAACTCCGGTAACATTCAAATTATTCACCCTGTATAATGTTATATAATTCTACGTTGAAGGTGATGAATTCTGTGCTTACGAGGAATACGACAACACTACTTCGACGCACATCGATTTGTTCTTTCCAAGCAAAACCAAAGAGGAATGCCAGAAATTGTGCGATGAATTCGAGCAGTTCAATTGCCGAGCTTACAGTATTATTAAAGGCGACGCTTGCTATTTGCACAGCGAAGACAGCAAAATTTACGGGCCCAACGCGTTGAAGTTCCTCGCCGGTTCTACTTACTACGAAAAGGCCAATTGTTTGAACAGTAAGTCGCGATTTTCGCGCGTTTCCTTCCTCGAGATTATGATTTCGCGAATGTATTCCAGTCACGGTGTCTTGTTCGGAAACCTACATGACCGTCGAGTACGAGCCGGACTCGAATTTCAACGGTAAAATGTACATGGAAGGATTCTCGGATAATCCGGTGTGCTCCGCTCCCGGGGAAGGCCGGTTCCATCCGGTATCGCTGAAGATACCTCTGCTGACCGGACAATGCGGCATCATCAAAGCCGATGGTCCCGTGAATAGGTGAATATAGAAATATTGCCGATTATTGTAATCGACCAAATTTGTTCGCAGAACGCTGCTCTCCGGGAACTTGTTGATCCAGTTCAACTCTCTCATACAAACTCAAAACGATCGGTTGATAAGGGTCGGGTGTATTTTCGGTAACGAGACTAGAGTGGTCGTGGGGACAGGAGTTCATGTATCCCCGTAAGTATACACCTTGGTTCTTTTTATTATCTTCGCATAGAAGAACTAGAAATATTTTCTAAACGACTCGATTTCCAGTATGCAGCCCAATAAAGGTAGCGTGATTATAATACCAACGGAAAATTCATCAGTACCGAACGTAATAATGAAAATAGTGGATCCTAAGACGGGTTTGGATATAAGCGATACGCAAATAGGTCAAGAGCTTCAGCTTCAAATCATCCTAAATCAACCGAACAGTAAGTATAATGTTCATGTTTTAATGACTCTGGAGCGTTCTAAACGAATCCGAGGCGTTCTAAACGATTCTGAAGCCTTTTAAATGATTCTAGATAGTTCTAAACGATTCTGGAGCGTTCTAAATGCTTATGGACAGTTGTAAATGGTTCTGGAGCGTTCTAAAAGATTTTACATAACATTTTTTTTATTTAACTTTACTCAACACATTTTTATGTACAGATCTGGATATTTGGGCTAGCCATTTGATAGCCATGACCGAAAGAACGGACGAATCGATATTCCTGCTGGACGATAGAGGTTGTCCCACTGATCTCAACATATTTCCCGCTTTGAGGAAAATCGTTACCAAAGACCGTATAGAACTTACGGCCGTCTTTCAGGCTTTCAAGTTCACCGATTCTCCTATAGTCAGATTTAGCGTAAACATCCAGTTTTGCGTCGGGGAATGCCCGCCGGTAGGTCTACTGCCGCTAATTCTATTCAGAGTATTTTTGACTGGTCGTTTCAGGTAATTTGCGGCACGAACATCGTATCGCACGGGAGGAAACGGAGAGGTTTGAAAATCGAAACCATCAACGGCACGTCTGTGATTAAATTGAATAGAAACGATCTGAGACACAACAAAACCAGCGTCATGTTTCAGATGCCTTTAGAATACATAATGATAGTCAAAGACTCGAATAAGTACCAAGCCGATAGGCTGGTTACAGCGGATAACCAAAAAATATTAGTCGCTGGTTACGGTGCGTATTTCCCACGTAAATCTCTCCATTGCTCTCATTACTACCTTCTTGCAGATTACATAACCAACGAAGTGTGCTTAGATTACTCTCTAGTTATAGCGCTCATCGTGCTGTGGGTGCTGGTGCAAATATTCTTTGTTATCGGCAGTATCGTGTTGGTGAAACGGTACAAGAGGTACTATCAGCACGAGTGTACCAGGCAATCGATGGAGGAGCTTCACAAGAACTTCGGCATCGGGTTTAGTAATTTGGAGAATAGACGAGTACATTGGGCCGATAACGAGAATATCCTATAAAATTCCAATTAGACTGACTAGTGATTCGAGCTGAGCTGAATTGTAATTACGTTACATACTTATTATTATCTACAGTACAAATATGTATGCTAAAATATGAATAAATATTTAGAAATTACATAACAATCAGGTTGCGTCTTGCTTTTTTAGTTCTTTCGTTAAATCGATTTGCTGTTGTAGAACGTACAAATTCTCTTGCTTTCGCCTTTGTCTCCTTTCTATGTCCTTCAATACGCCCGAATGCATCTGTTCGCTGCAATTTAGTACAATTTAGCGTTGAAATGGGGAACTCGAGAGCCATTAAATGCAGTATTAGTGACTACTTACAGGTCGAGTTTCTGTTTAAAATGTACGTATGAAATTATACTTATTGAAAATATAACAGCTGAACTAAGAACTACTTTAGATGGTAAGGACATTGTTGGTTTATTTTAGTGCTTTGAAATCAAATATTTTTGTTGAATTAATGATAATAATGTGTGGTTATGTCTAAATAAGTGTCATGTGTCATTTTTTTAGGTCATATATAACAACGTAAAAAAGAAGAGTTGAAGTACAAAAGTCAATTGTCAATTATTGACATAACCTTTCTAAGAACTTGACGTTTCAAATTCGTGGACGTCCGTGGTATTCGTGGTATTTAACAAGAAATTTTAAAATATATTGCATCATTACGTTTATAATTCCAACGTTAGTTGTTAAATACAAAGGCACCACTGATTAATAATTGTTAAACTCAATAACGACAACATGTCAGGAGAAAATAAAGAGCGTAAGTAATTCATAAACTCGGTAAAATTGTAAATACATATGTTCATACAAAAACGTGCCTATTTCAGCGATTTACACCTCCGAGACTCGAGGAAACGACGAGTCTGGCGACGGCAGTGAAAAGAACCCTTTCAAGACTGTTCTACAGGCGATGCGAAAAGCCGGTTCCGAACCATTTCCAGTCATCTACATGGACAGTAAAGAAGACTCCGCGGTCTTCGAGCCGGCCGCTAAATCGCAATTGAAAAAAATTCAGAAGTTATGGGTGAGAGAAAACTACAAACAAGCGGATAAGAGCAAAAAGGAGGAAGAAGACGCGGAAAAACGGAGCAAGAATTTAGAGGATGCCAAGAAGATCACGATAAGCGAAGATAAAAGTTTACCTAAAGCGAAAAAAATAAGGATTTTCGAAGGTACACAATTAATTGCGTATACCTTAAATCGCATTGTAATAAAACGTGTATTACAGGCGAATCTAACCGAGATGCTAGAGTTAAAATTAACGGCTGGGCCCACAGGATCAGAAGACAAGGTAAAAACCTAATGTTCATCACTCTACGAGATGGTACTGGGTTTTTACAAACCGTTCTCAACGATAAACTTTGTCAAACCTACAACGCCCTCATCTTACAAACCGAATCATCAATATCACTGTACGGTACTATAAAGAAATTACCCGAAGGCAAAACTGTAAGTCTATTTACAACAAAATTATCATCTATAATTGAATATTTGTGTAACCCACAGGCACCGGGAGGTCACGAACTGATCGTAGATTACTGGGAACTCATCGGATTAGCCCCGCCAGGCGGAGCGGATTCCATTCTAAACGAACAAGCTCTCCCCGACGTTCAAGCCGAAAACAGGCACATAATGATCCGAGGAGAGAACACCTCGAAGGTGCTCAGAATCAGATCGGTGCTGCTGCAAGCCTTCCGAGACCACTACTTGGACAGGGGCTACTGCGAGGTGACGCCCCCGTCGATAGTGCAGACGCAAGTCGAGGGCGGTTCGACGTTGTTCAAAATGGACTACTTCGGAGAGGAAGCGTATTTGACGCAAAGTTCGCAGTTGTACCTCGAAACGTGCCTGCCTTCGATGGGCGACGTGTTTTGCATCGCCGAGAGTTTCAGGGCGGAGCAGAGCAGGACCAGGAGACATTTAGCCGAGTATGTTAACATATCATTTTCCCAGCTAAATTCGTTTCGGCTCGCCATCGCGATTTAAAATTAAAAATCGTCCGCCATTTTGGAAATTATCCAAGTTGACATATCGTTTTGTCATTTTTCGTTCTTTTGCGTGGATCCGAATTGTTCCGAACTCGCACTCGTCGAACGCATCTCATGCGGCCTTTTACTACGTCAGTGTACAATACCTCTAAAGCCTCAAATCTTATTAATTTGTATGTTTAGGTATACGCATGTGGAAGCCGAGTGCCCATTCATTTCGTTCGATGATCTCTTGGACCGTTTGGAGGATCTGATTTGCGATGTTGTGGATCGCGTGTTGAAGTCCCCATACGGGCACATCGTGAAGGAGCTCAACCCGAATTTCAAGGTGCCCGAAAGGCCGTTTATGCGCATGAACTACTCCGATGCCATAAAATACCTCAAAGAGCACAACATCACTAAAGAGGATGGTAGTTTCTACGAATTCGGAGAAGTACGTTTGTGTGGTTATCGAAAGAAATACGTTTTTATATTTTTGTGTTGTATTACAGGATATTCCTGAGATGCCCGAACGAAAAATGACTGATGAAATTAACAAACCGATTATGTTGTGTCGGTTTCCTGCCAATATCAAATCGTTCTACATGTCTAAATGCCCCGAAGATAAAGGCCTCACTGAGAGCGTCGACGTGCTTTTACCTAACGTAGGTGAAATCGTCGGTGGATCTATGAGGATTTGGGATATACAAGAACTAATGGAAGGGTAAATGCGATGCAATAACACTAAAGCGTATTAATTCATCTGTTGTTTGTAGGTATAAACGCGAAGGAATAGACCCGGCTCCTTATTTCTGGTACACAGACCAAAGGAAATACGGAACCTGTCCTCATGGTGGTTACGGTTTAGGTTTGGAAAGATTTGTTTGCTGGTTGCTCAACAGATACCACATCAGAGAAGTTTGTTTGTATCCGCGCTATTTGCATCATTGTAAACCTTAAAAACGTGCGCTATTCCATCGAATCAATTTTGTTGCATTTATAAATTGCATTAGAATAAGCTAATTGTTTCCATTGTAATCAATAAAACGAAGCTGCTGAATATATTAAATTGTATTTATAAAAACTTGAGGTATGCTAATTCGCACTAATGTATCGTGTTCAAATAATTTATGCAATAAATTAAACTTATTGGCCTTGTTGAGCTTCAGGATTGGCAGCCGAAGAAATTGCCATGAATATCAATAAAGGTACAATGTACATCCACTGGAACAATAATTTAAAGTGAATGAGGATACGCTGGAATAGATTTAATAATACTTACGTATTTCGCTAGGAAAGATCTATTATCTTTGGTTTCACCTTTCTCTTTGGCTTCCTTTTCTTTCTCAATTTTTTGAATAAACGAAGCAACGTCAGGGCTAAAATAAATAAAATATAGTAACCAGAAGTTAAGGAAATTATTATCTTACTTTGGCCCATCTTCTGAATGCCTTACGAACACGACAGTATTGAAGTATTGCAATGTCTCCCGAGGGACAATTACCCCTTCACAAGCTGAACTCGAAGCTACCACTAAAGACACTCCTACAACTCTTCCCATGTAATCTAACGAAACTGATAATCGATCGTCTAAATCCGATTCGACCAGCATACACTAAAAAAAGTAACTAGACTATAGCGATTTTACTTTACGTTTGAAATAACTACATACAGCTTTTACAGTTGAAATAAACGTTCGTTCAGTTCCATCTTTCGACAATACTATCGATTTGACTTGATAATAGCTATTCCTTGCAGACAAATCCTACAAATAACAGTATTATTGGCGACCAAAATTAATATACAATTTAATTTACACTAAGTAGTCTCTGTTCATCAGGTTTCAACTCGTTTTGGTCAACTTCAACCTGTCCGGTTCTCAAGCTGTGTATCGTGATGTTTCCTCTATCTGTCCAAGTGGGGTTCTTTTCGAATTTCAAAGCATGCTGCAAACGAATCGTCACTGAACTGTCGTGCTCCAAGTTACTCTGGAAAATCGATAGTTAAATTTACGAATTTGGTAGATTGCGTTGTAGATATTACTTACTGCTAAAATGCTAAGTACTAATGAACTTAGTAAGACTAGTTGATGTATTACGAACATGTTATAATTATCAAATAAACTGTTAATTAATTAATTTGCATTTGGATTTTAGTTCATTACTTGACGTACACTTTTATAGGTTATAACGACAAACGACAAGAAGATGATTGACATTTGTATCATTTAAGGCCTTTTACGCAATGGTTATTTGTCAACTCAATCGATGAATATTTGTTTCAAAAAATTAATATGAGTTGACTTCTAAAGTAGTTAAGGCATAGCAAAATAAATTTTGTACGATTTTTATTTACTTCGAAATAAAAATTGCAAAACCATTGTTGGAGTGTTCTGTCCTGGTAAGCACGGAACACAAAAGACGTTACCATGACAACCTTTTAAATATTACAAATGGTTTTTCTTACTTCAATAATATCGAATCCATTCTGTTTTCCCTGAATTTTACTTTTCCACAGTCGGTAATCAACTAAATAAAATGTCAGATTTTGCGAAAAGACACTTCATAAAGATTGCAGGTGAGATGTTTTGTTTTTCTAATAAAGTTTTCTTAGCAACTTAGTATAGGTATCCATGTTTTATTTGTAAAGAAGATAATAGATTTTGTACCTTATTTCATTATATTACTAGTCCAGGATTTAATTAAATATTAAGGGCTGAGTTAGATTAATAATAATTATTGACTGAAAGTTGTAAATTTTGAGGTAAAACTCTAGTTTTTTTACAATATATCTTATATATCATCTAAATTAGGCAACCAACATTACATTAAAATAAATATACGTGGCGCAAATTAAAACTGTTTGTAGGGCTCCATTTAGGAACCACCTTTTTGGAGGATAATTGGGACAAGGACATTATAGGCATGCAGGAATTGCAGAATTTTTTGGTAATGGAAAACGTGATTACGCTATTTGCCGTTATTGAAGAAATCGACGATAACAAAAGGATGAAATTCTTCAGAACTGTACGTAAAAATAAACTATCAATTTTAAAAATTTACAGAAATAATACTCAAATTTATATAAACCACCCACTGTTAATAATTCTTTTACTCGACAAGTAAAAAAACCTCCTCAATTATATTGATTTTATTACGACGGCTTTTCTATATGTATATAAAACTGTATGCGGACTAACCGCGCTCAACAACAATTAGGAGGGGGACAACAGCAAGGTATCTGATTTGTGTCATCAGGCTGCAAATAAAACAGGATTACACATAGCTGAAACGCACCGACTCGACCGATACTTACACAACAACAATACGAAAACAGAAGCTTCGGAAGTAGGCCGGAGAGCAGCTGCAGCGCTCCTGTGGCGATGCCCAATTTGGCCGCGGTGGCCAGCAGGCCGGTGCTCTGCGTCAGCTCGAAGACGGACGCCGCCATGAGCGTGCTGCCCAGGAATATATGGAAACCGGAGACCAACAGCAAACAGAAGCACCCTCCCTGGTCGCAGCACAACAGCTGCATGATCAGCAGGGCCAGGCTGAGAATGCAGCTGAGCATGGCGGCCGCTGTGACAACGACGGAGAAGGTGCTGAAGTCCTGGCAGTTGCCGGTGAAGTGGAGATGGACGTGCAAGAAGGCGCAGGCGTGCGCGGCTAGTAAAGTCAGCCAGAATAATATTAAGCCGAAGAAGCAGTTGAAGGAGTCTAAGGATGCGTCGCCTTTACAATCGCTGCAACAATTATTGTCATCGCAACATTTGTCGTTGTTATCAAAACACATATTTTAATTTTGCAGAGTGAACGACGTTGGGGTTTCCTTTGTACATTCGGTTTCTAATTGCCTTATCATCCTGATAGGTTGAGTAAACACTAAAAAAATAATATTAAAATGTACAACAAAAACGATTCAAATTCGTGAAACTTACCTGATTCATTTTGTTAGATAATATATACGAAGAAAATTTTTGTAAAGGTTTTCAAAAGTTATTGTCAAAATCATGACAATTTCGGTTATTGGAACCATTCTTCTCTTTTACAATTTTTTCGGACTAAATTTCTACTACTATTCAACGATTTCATCACAAAATATCCAAACTTTTAATGCGGAAAAAAACTCTTTTTAATTCAATAATTTCTAAACATTGCAGTTTACTAATCAAAATTACGAAGTGATAATTTGCTTCAACAAATACAAACCCATCGTTCCATCGGATGATAACTTATTGCGCGACATACAAACTACCACTTTATCAGGATCCCCTACTCTGGCTTTGTTTCAGAGCTTGAACGTATTTTCACCGTTACTGCAGCAGGTACTAATTTAAATAATCCCCTAATGTTTGTAATGAATAACGTAAATTTCTGCAGAAAGATCAACCGAACATCTCCAGACAAATCGCCAATTTACAGAACGATCTTCGTACAGCGATTTTTAACGATAGGTCCTCGAGTGCTATCATTGAAGCGACCGAATATACTTCTTTATCGGGTATGATTTATGAGTCTTTTACTTACGAAAAATTGTACGATTGTGTTGCTTTAGTCGTGACAGCGTTAGAACATGAAGTTATCTACTGGAATTCTGTGAAACCATCAAAGAGAGATAAATTAACTAAAGCTGCCTGTTCGACTTTCAAAGATCTCCTCAGTACTATTGCAGGAGAATTTAAGTTAGTAAATTATGTTGAGCTGTATAAGCGAGTAATTCTTGATTAATTGTAGCATTATAGATGCGTTATCCTGTGCGGATGTCGAAGAATTGCTGGAAAAATCGCACAATGTTTTGGATGATTTGTGGAAAAACGAGCCGCCTTTTCCCAAGCACAGAATAACCCATATCATGGATGTTATAGGTTGGTAGGTACCCATTACTTATGCTTAATGACTTTTATGGTATCTTCAGGTAGCGATGTTCAAAAACATTTTGCCGCTCTTTTGAAACAATTCAACGTTTGGACCGACGATTATCTCCAAATATCCGAAATGCTAAACCAAGAAATAGCGCTGGGAGAAAAGTGGCTGGTCAGCTGCAAGCAATTGACCGAGATTTTTTGGCCAAGTTACACCCCGAACCCTTGGAAAGATGATATTTACCAACCCCCCGAATTGGTCAATTCTATTTCTATATTAAAAAAGGTATATTACAATTATAATATTCCCGAACCAATTCGAATTAACTTGCATTTTTTGAAGGTTTTAGAAATTCGCTCGTTGCACAGACAATTATTAAAACTCTTGTCTAACCAAGAGCAAACTGAACTACAAACCGACGAAATACTGAATAAATTTAAAGGTGAATTTACTTTTCATTTACACAACCTTCTTCTAATTTCTCTAAAATTTCACAGATATAGACGCATCTTTATTCGGCCAAGACACCAAGCAATCCCTCATAAAAGCGGAAAAACAATTCGGTTACATGATCCAACCGGCCGAGCAAAGAATCGCCACCAAATTAAAAAACCAACTAACAGGAGTCAATTCCAACATTCGACAAGTAAGACAAACTCCCTCATATCACTCCACCAACCAATCAACTAACAATTCCTGCTAATCCGTAGCTGATATACGAATATTCCCGCTACGCCGAACTGATCGGCAGGCCGGTACTCCGGAACGAATTGATCAAAGAACGCCAGTACCTTCTAGCTTCTATCCACGATTACCTGAAATCCATTCAATCAGAAGCCACTTCGGAGAACCACGCCATCAACATGCGCTACGATATACCAGAAGTTGTTAAAGACATCATACAACTCAGGCAATTGGAGTCCAAAGTCAACGAGGTCCACAAAGTAGCACTAAAGATACTACAAGTAAATCGTATTCTTCGTTAATATAAATAGGTATGTATAAGGAACGTTGTTGACAGGATTTACAAGGCTACGAGGACTTAAATCGTCGGATACTAGAGATTAGCAAGGATCTAAAACGACAACACCACGAACTATTCGACTCCTGGTGCGCCGACGTGCTAATTTACATCAAAAACAACACGTTGAAATTGAAAGAATCCGATCCGGTGGTCGAATTCTCCGACGACAAGCTGATGCGCGTCACTTTTTCGCCGCGATTGATCGTCCTGATATCGGAGGTGAGGCAGCTGGGCGCCATGGGGTACCAGATACCGGCGGCGATAAGGGAAACGAGCGAGCACGCCAAGAAGTTCATGAAATTGGCGAGGATATTGGAGCAAATAGCGCACTTTCACAACACCATCGGCGATCAGATGATCGCCTGCCAGAAGCCGATGATGCTCAACAGCGCGCTGGAACTGTCGAAGTTGGTGCAAGAGCAAGAGGTGGTGTCCTGGGGACAGGAAAAGTCGGTGGAGAGGTACGTTAATACCTTGAAAGCGGCGGTGGAGAAGCTTTCCAAAGAAAACGGGTTGCTCACCATGTATCATCATCAAATTCTTGAAAAGGTAACTATAAACAAATATTTAGCGACTTTATTAATAATAATTGTGTGGTAGATAAAAGAATTGGAAGAAGTCGATTTGATCAAGGAGTATAGCAAATGGAAGGAGACATCGAAAAACGTACGGCAAATCCTCGCTCAAGTAGAAGAAAAAGGCTTCAGGAACATTCAAAGTTGGAAGAGGGAGCTGGACAAGGTCCTCAGCGGCGTATTAGAGAAACAATACGTTGAAAGTTTGGACACGCTTCACATTTACCTGCCCGAAATCCGCGCGGATTTGATCTACAGAAACTCCAAATTGGAATACCTTCCCGACGAGGCGACCCTGAGGAAAACCTACGATTTGCAACTCAAGCGCTTCTTGGACATACCGAAACACTTTCGAAACATATCCGACGAAACTAACAGCGTCGTTTACGATATAATTTTAGAAAGGTCTGTAAATAGTAGTAGAAAAGGAACCGATTTACTAATTAATTTATTTAGAAACCAAGAAGCTCTATCGAACGTAGCAAAACGCACAGACGAATTATTCGAACAACTACAAGCAGTCCTAACGCACTGGCAGTCCTGGTTACAATTAGAAACCTTAGATACCACCAAACTAACAACCTGGCAACATTGGGATCTACATTTCAGGGCTTCGAAAACCTTTGGACAGGAAATCGCCAAACTACCATGGTAATATTATTCTCGTTACTCCCTCGAATTCCGCGTTATCAAAATATTCCTCACCAGCGAAGAAGAACGCGTGGGTTGCTTCGTGATCGGCCTGTCGCGCCTGCGATCCGACTTGGAATCGCACAACAGGAGTTACTGGGACCAATTGGTGCAATCGCTGAAGAACGCCCTGGCCCAGGACGTGGTCAAATTGCAGAATTACGTGGATCATTCCACCAACGCTCTCACCAAACAACCGGTGACTTTGGACGAAGTTGGAGAAACTGGAGCTGTACACGCCGATATATTGAAAGAGAAACCTGAAGTACTGACGATAATAAATGAAGTTTAGAGGTAATACAATGTGTTTTTAGATGGAAAATTTGTTTGACGAAATGACGAAGAAAGCTCAAACTCTATCGAGCTGGTCTAGGGAGCAAGTCGTTATGGTGAACAGGCTTAAAGGCGCGTGGGATCGTTTGCAGAATCTCCTGGATAATTACCAGCATATCATGGAGAAACAGGTGAAATATAAGACGATTAGATTTGATGAAATTCTCTAACGGTGTGTTCTAAACAGATGGAGATAATAAAAACGACGTTGAAAGTGGACGGGGAGAATTTGAACAAAGAAATCGAAAGGTTCAACGCCAAATGGGAGGACGCGAATCCGCGGCTTAATTCCGGGGAAATTTTGGGCAGCAGCCTCGATGATCTCGTAAAGCATTTGAATAATGTTAAAAATAAACGGAACGAATGGACCGAAATTGGAAAACAAAAAGGAAAACTTTTGTGAGTATTTTTATTTCGTGTTCGTATCAGTAAAGGAATGGCTTTTTTTCCAGGGATGACTATTTGAAATTCAATTTAGAACCACCTGATATACCATTCTTGAAGGAAATCGAAGACACTCTCAAATTAGAAGAAGAATCGTGGTCTATATTTGAGGCTTTCAATAAAGGTAATTAAAAAGGAAGGGCATATATGCAAATTGTTGCATATTTGGCAACAAAGTGGAAAAACATAGAAAAAGTGGAAAAACATGGAAACTGTGGAAAAATATTGAAAAAATGAAAAAACATGGAAAAAGGATGTGTGTTATTTTGTTTGCATATATTTAATTTCTTGGGCATATTTATGCGCATTTTTCTTGTGATTTTATTTGCATATTTGCCTTTCTCTAGTACACAATCACTTAATTTGGTAGATTCTGATCATATTCGGTGTTAAAATATTTACAGAATTCGATGAAATAAAAAGCGAATCTTGGATTGTGTTCAGGAAGAAAACCTACAAACTGGAAGAATTTCTGAAATCGTGGCGAGAGAGGTTGACGAAAACCGAAAATTCCCATCTGGAATCGCGAATATTACACGAAATTCATAAATACGAGGTAGAGTCTCTGCGGAAACGCTCGATCTAAATAATGTACGACAAACGAGCATAATAATTTCCAGGTAACAGCGCCATTATTGAAATTCCTTAAAGGGGAAGACTTCACCGAGAATCATTGGATTGATGTTTTCAATTTATTAAATATGCACGTGAAGCCCATCGATCAGCTCGCTTTGAACGATTTTCTACAAGTGTCCGATAATATACAGGCTAAACTCAACGAATTACAGGTAAACTTAAGGAATTTAAAGATATATAATAGCAGGTAAGTCGATGCGTATTTTCAGGGTATAAATAAGCGAGCAGCCAGCGAAATTATTATCAGACAGGCCCTGGCGGAACTCGAGCATTGGGATATCCACACTAGATTCGCTCTCTCGCCTCACAAGGACTCGAAAAACAAAGAAATTCCGCTCATAAAAGATTTCAAGGAGATCTTAAACAAAGTAACTATAAGAGTTTGCAGATGGAAAATCGTCTGAATTTACGGCTTTTAGATAGGCGACAATCAGAGTTTATTGCAGTCGCTGAAAAATTCCCCCGATTACGATTCCTCCGTCGAGAAAGTCTCAATGTGGGAGAACAAATTCAGCGATTTGGATCATTATTTGACGTCGCTGGCGCAGATACAACGAAAGTAATCGGTTACAACTTCTTTAGCTATAACTATGTAACTAAATTTAATTTAAAGGTGGTTGTACTTGGAGCCGATTTTCGTCAGCGGTACTCTCTCGCAGGAGAAGAACCGTTTCGAGAGGATCGACAGGGATTTGAGGCACGTATTGGGCTTCATCGAGCGAGATCTTCGCGTATCGGCCCTGTGCAGGTACCCCAATTTGCGATCGTTACTCGAAACCACGTTGAACCAACTAGCCCGATGCCAGAACAACCTCGACGAGTTCTTAAAGGTACACTTTAAAGCGAATATTCGCTTAAATATATTACATTTAATCGGTTCGTTTCGCGCAGGAAAAACGCAATAAATTCCCGCGGTTCCTCTTCCTCAGCGACGACGATTTACTGGAGGTCGTCGGGCAATCGTCGAAGGAGCAAATTATTCAGGCCCATTTGAAGAAAATATTCTCCGGCATAAATAGCGTCGTGTTATCACTAAACGGGGGGGAAATAACCGCCATATGCTCGATGCAAGGCGAAAAAATCACCTTATCGAATTACGTGGCTATCAATAGACCGGTAGAGGTGAGGATATTATTAGAGTACAGAGTTTATTTATTTATTCATTTTGTATTGCAATTACTGTCGATTACAGCATATCTGAAGCAATCTAAATGTTTCTAGACAGTTGTAAATCAGTCTATACAGTTCTAAATGGCTCTCGATAATTCAGCTTCGTCTTGAGGCAATCTAAATGATTCTGGACAATTCTAAATTGATCTAGACAGTTCTAAATTATTCCTGACAATTTCCTGAAGCAATCTAAGTGATTCTGGACAGTTCTAAATCATTGTAGACAATTGTAAATCATTCTATACAGTTTTAAATGATCTAATTCTCTATCTAAAGTTATGATATTGAGCTATATTGTGGGATTGTAATTTTTCCCATACTAACCACTGTTATTTTAATAATAATAAGGTAAGGTAGACTGGGGCAAATCGGTTGTAAAATTTGAATAGTTCAAATTAAATCCTAAAATGTGGCTTTATTTTTTCTCTGATTAGAAGTGCTGATACCACATTAAATTCACAACTTCCTAAACTAAAGAATCGAGGTATTAAAAAGTTTTTTTTTGAAAAAGGAAGAAAACGATTTTACATATTTTTTAAAATGTTGACAATATGTTACATTTACCCCATGGTACGGGGTAAATGTAACAAACGTTCTAAAGAGACAATACAATTATATAGAAAAACATATGGGGCAATTGTAAATACATATTTGGTTCCTCTAAAATTTGATATGCTGTTTATTTATTTCAAAAAGTAACAGAGCTACAAAATAAAAAAAAAGAAATAAACCCTGTCTAATGCACAAAAGAACTATAAAAAATAAAAAACATTAACATAATAGGTAAAAATATTACATTTACCCCATTTTTACATTTGCCCCAGTCTACCTTATTCAGGTGAATAATTATGCCTGTCTGTGGCAAAAATCAATCTAATTTTAAGGCAATCATTTAAAATAAACAATTCTTCTAAAGGTATGGATGAACGATCTGGTAAAAGAGATGCAAAACACGCTAAAAGAGCTATTAGTAAATTGCCAGAAAGAGAAATCCGCTCCTGATCCGTTGCAATACCCGTCTCAAATCCTGTGCCTGTCCGAGAGCATCAGCTTCACCGCCAAATGCGAACAGGCCATTACCAGCATGACGTTGTCGTCTCTTTTGTCCAAATACAAGGTGAGGCCGATGTACAATCCGCGGGAGCGGAATCGATCTAATTAAAACTTGATCGGGTATCGTTTCAGACGCAACTCGAACATTACGGTTCGCTGGATTTGAATAAAAGCAAAGGCAACGACGGCGACGGCGAAAACGTACTCGAATTAAAACTCAAAGCTCTATTGTTAGACACGATCCGTTTTGTTTGCGTTATAGAGGAGCTCGTTCGAAGCAACACTTCGAAGATTACCGAATGGAGCTGGCAGAAACAATTAAGGTAAACAAAACGGCTGCTCGATATCGTAGCTAATTGTAAACCGGAGTGAAGTAAGCCCTTTAAAAGGGAAACATCGAAGCTTAGCGCGCGTTTTTGCAGGTACTACAGCAACTCGACCGGAGAAGTCACCGTAAAAATGGCGAACGCTCGAATGGACTATTCGTACGAATACCTGGGAAACGCCGCGAAATTAGTGAGAACTCCTCTAACGGAAAAATGCTTCCTCACTTTAACGCAGGCAAATTTTTAATTAACTACTCGCAATCGTAAATATCTCATCCGGCTTTTTCTTAGGGTTTACACTTGGGAATGGGCGGTAATCCGTACGGGCCGGCGGGCACCGGAAAAACCGAGTCGGTGAAAGCGCTGGGGCATCTGCTCGGCCGGCAAGTCTTAGTTTTCAATTGCGACGAGGTAAAAGATAACTTACAAATTATATTAGAGTTGCTATTATTTTATTTACATTATAACAACAGGGAATAGACGTATCGGCCATGGGCCGCATCCTCATAGGTCTCGTGAAAACCGGAGCGTGGGGATGCTTCGACGAATTCAACAGATTGGACGAGGCCACGTTATCGGCGATTTCCATGCTAATCCACGCCATACAAATTTCGATTCGAACCGATAAGAAAACGGTTCGATTGCTGGATCAAGACGTAAATAAATTTATCTTAAAGTTGTTCCCGCAACGATTTATACGGTTTTAGATCGATGTTAATAAACATTGCGGTATATTCGTGACGCTGAATCCCGCAGGAGGCGGTTACGGCGGCAGGAATAACCTGCCGGATAATCTGAAACAGCTGTTTCGGCCGGTCGTGATGACGCATCCGGACAACGAAGAAATCGCCAGGTCGCTGCTTCAGTGCGAGGGGTACAAATGCGCCGGCGTCGCGGCGAGGAAACTTGTCGAGATTTTCGATATATCCAGGTAAAATTAGTACTCGGAATTTTTGTTGTTACCGCAATTATATTTACGTTTCAGTAAGTTGTTGAGTAAGCAACAACACTACGATTGGGGCTTGAGATCTATCAGGACGGTGTTAACAGGATGCGGAAGAGCGTTGAAGAGTTTAAAAAGCAACAGCGATAGTACCGTTGGAATTAACGAGGAATTGTCTCTAATTGTACAAGTGCTGAAAACTGATGTTTTATCGAAACTATCGTTTGCCGATAGTAATAAATTCATATCGATTGTAGAAGACGTATTTATGGAGGTGGACTTTAAAACTGTCACAGACGATTTGCTGGTGTCTACTATCGAAGAAAGTTTTAATGAATTAGGGCTAATTAAAAACGATAGACAGGTAGAGAGTATAAAATGGGAAATAATTAATAACAACATTACATTTCGTAGATTAACAAGTGTTTGAAATTATTCGAGCAACTTCAACAAAGAATGGGTATTGCTATAGTAGGCCCGCCTAAATCCGGTAAAACTACAATAAGAAAATTGATACACAAGGTAAATATTTGCGAGTTTTTAGAAATTTGTTGTTAACTCGATTAAATTCTAGACTCTAACAAAAATGGGAAGAATTATAAAATTCCACGAATTCAATCCCAAGAGCTTAGGAAGAGCTCAATTGCTCGGTAAATTGGATGTTGATACCGGTCAATGGACTGATGGAGTCATTACAAAATACAGTTTAGATGTTACTTCCGAAAATTCCGGTAAATGTCCACAAATAACATTAAAAAAATCCAAGCACTCTTACCACAGATCTATAATGTCACTTATCACACATTTAGCAAATCTAGTAATCAATTGAATTGTCCTGCTATCTACTAATTAATTTCGTAATTAGACATTTGGTCGTGGATCGTCTGCGACGGAGACATCGACCCGGATTGGGTGGAATCCCTAAATTCCGTATTAGACGACAACAGGTTGCTTTCCCTACCGTCCGGCTGGCGTATCCAGTTCGGTTCCAACGTGAATTTCATCTTCGAAACTCACAATTTAACTAACGCTTCGCCCGCTACCATCTCTAGAATGGGCATCGTGCTCTTGAGCGAGGAGGATATGGACCTTCAATTGGTACTGACCAGTTTCGCGGATAAACTGCCGGACGGTCAGAAATCAATTTTGGGACCGTTGGTTATTGATTACATCGGAAAAGGTTGGGTTAGTTGTAATGAGTACTTGTGGTTACTAATTGAATTACATTACAGCTATTGATTGGTGTGTAAAAGAAGGCGAAATGATTCTACCTTGCTCTAGAGTAGGAATGGCTCTAACAGTATTGTCTCAGTTAAAAGATGTTTATAGCAAATCCCAATTCGCAGTGCGCTTAATGAATATTTTAGGACATCAGTTACATGAGGATTTTAAAGAGATTTTTTGCCAACAAGTAAACCACCTAGTTATTTTATTAAGCATTTAATTACACTATTTTTTAAGGTGTACGATTGGTTAGGAGAAACTCCACCGCCTGTAATCGTCAGGTCTCGTTATAACAATGATAGAGGTACTGTAGAATCATACTACACGAATCCTAATGTTATCATTGAAGATGGTAATCGTTTAAAAATACCTCTCATTCCAACGAGTCAAATCGAGTTGTATGTGGATTGTTTGAACGGTTGGTTGGGCGATTCCAACGAGAATATTTTGCTGGTGGGTCCACACGGTTCGGCCAAAACGTAAGGAAGTCCCCTGGCATGAAAAGTTTATTAAATTCCCCATTAATTTCAGATTGATTTTGGAGAATGCAGTGAAAAACAGGACGAATTTGGAACTGGTTACGATTTATTGTAGCGGGAGTCTGTCGCCCGGTTTCGTTATCACGAAAATGGCGCAGGTACGACGCAAAAATCGTGTTGATATAAATATTTATACAATATTTTTTAGTATTGCATTCATGTGAACACTCATAAAGGTAAAGTGCTGAGGCCGAAACGAGGAAATCTTCTGCTGCATTTCAAGAATCTGCATTTGCTGAAGCCTGACAAGTGGGGTACGAATGTACTCGTTGAATTTCTCAATCAAGTAAGAATTAATTTAGTTTATTTCTTTCCGAATCGCAAAGAGTTTGGGATGATTAGTTCAATAAAATGTTTTAAGTGTAAAGCTATTTATTTATGATGAGAAATTTTATTCCGTAACGGAGCGTATATGGAAGGTCTAGCGTCGTTTTTTAATTTCTTCTCTAATTCATTGATTTTCGCTTGCCGTTGTAAAATTTTCGACTTTAATTTAGCCACTTCTTCGACATTGACTTTTTCCCTAGCGCCTAATTCCACGTTAGCATCGGCTATAGCGGTTTTCGAATGGGCTTTCAGATCGTCGTACTTCTGTTCCCACTTCTCTACGATTTCCCTGTATTCTTCGAGCTCCTCCTTCAACAGGTCCTGGTTGTATTTCAAATTGAATATGATCTCTTTGGCTTTTTCGTACCGTTCCAACAGGCCGTTGTAGGACAGCTCCAAGTTTTGTATGTAATTTTCCAAAACGGAGTTTTTATCGACGAGTTGCTCGCGTTCCTTCGCCGCTTTTTTGATGAAATCGTCGTAGTTTTGCATGATGTCTCGATAGTCGTTTTTGTCCAATGGGCCGCCGGATTTCAATTGGCATTCTAACGATTGGTTCGTTTCCTTCAATTCCGATACCTTAAAATTATTTCAATTTTTGATTCTATTAGAAATTACTACTTTGTATTTTAATACCTCTTGCTCCAACTCTTTGATTTTCGCTACATTATTTTTAATGACGACTTCCTTCTCTTGGAGCACCTCTTTGAATTGATCGATCTCGTCCTTTTTAGTCAGCAGCCCCTTCGACACGGGTTCTTGAGTTCGAAAAATCTGTAAACGATACCAATGAATAATTCGACAATTCCACTCGTGCTTTCATTAACTCCACAAAAGTTTGCCATATAACAAAACGTTTTACCTTTAAAATATCCATAGCAGACAAAAATGACTGATTACTGACAAATTTAGCTGATACTTCAATTTTGTTAATTATCTACCGAGTGTATTGGAAAAATATTACAGTACCTCTAATAGCGATTGGTCAAAGATTTTGTTTTTGTACAGGAATTTACTAACTGATGGATTGGCCTCTTCGGATTTCATGAGGAATGGTTCTAGTACTGGTTCTTGCATGCGAAAAATCTGTTAAATACAATCGAATTACTCTCAATTATAATAAATCCGTGTACTTACTTCTAGTATATCCATAATGTAATTTATGAAATTTACGATACAAATATTTTGACGTATAAATTTTGACGAATTTTTAGCTCATCGTATACAGGGGATTTTTCGATTCGAACGTCGAATTTATCGGAATCGAGAATATTTTTATAGTGTGTTCTTTGGAAGCCACTAATAATCTATCGCAAAGATTTACCTCTAATTTGAGAATTTTTAACATAAGGTTAGTATTTACACAATTTTTGTAGCCTCAAATTAATTTTCTCCATCACACAGTTTACCAGACACGGAAGATTTCTCGGTAATAATAGTAGCTTATCTTACATCCGTATTGAAGCGGCTTTCCAGCGGTTTTCCCAAAGCTAAAATAGTGAAATTAACGGCCTCCATCATTTCATTCTACGATAAAGTAATAATATACAACGCTTTTACGGTTGCTACATAGTTAATGGAATATTAAAATTTTAGTTGCGAACTACCTTTAATTCCCTACACAACAAGCATTATTTGTTTACACCCCACGATGTGGTCAATTTGTGCCGGGGGATATTGCAGTACAAAGAAAATAATGAAGGAAACTTGGACGATTTCGTTATCGAGGTAAAAAAAATACAACATCTGCAGGATTATTCTAAAGGATGTATTCTAGGTTATCAAATACGAAGCTAGGTACATATTCGGGGATAAACTAGTGAACGAGGACGATCGCACTTTGATGATTAAATTACTGAATGAATCGTTCGAAAGTCATTGGGGCGCAATAACCCCCTCGGCGCCTAAAATTAATTACTATTACGTTTGCGTGGAAAAAACGCCCGATTGCGATGGAAGTTTGGTGAAATTGGACGAGGCCGAGTGGAGGAAGGCGGTTCAAAACGGTATAACATTAATCGGTAAGCATAATTATACGCTTGTACCGATGTTTGATGTATTATTTACGAGCTTATAGAGAGGGAAGGGCAATTGTTGGATTTGGTTTTGAACGAGGAATTGCTGCATTTGACGGCGAATATATTGAAAATCGTAAGTCGGCCGGGTGGAAATGTCTTGTTAATTGGGAAATCAGGCGTGGGAAGAAAGAGCGCTATAAAAATCGTTACTGCTTTGCAATCTGCGAAATTGATTGTACCTTCTTTGGATTTTCTCAATAACGATCTGAAAATGGTAAATATGAAACCCAATTAATACTTAATAATCAATGCATAATTTATTTAGGCCATGCAATACGCTGGAATTGAAAGCGAAGATGTTTACTTATTGATCGAAGATTACATATTAAACAACGAAAACAATTTGAATATCTTCAATTCCTTAATTTCATCTGGAGAAGTATAATTTTATAGTATCCAATAAATAACAGGTTTTAATTGTTATATTATCATAGGCTCCTGGCTTGTACCAACCAGCAGAATTAGACTCTATAGTGAAAGGGTTGAAAGAGGAATCTGATAGGGAAAACTTCGACGGCAGTTTAATCCAGTATTATTCCGAAAGTAAGCAGTAGATTTATTTAAGGGTCGAATTAAAATTAACTTTTATATAGGAATCAAGCGGAACCTCCACGTTCTAATCTGCCTCGACGCCGATAATGAAAATCTCTGGAATATTATAGACAATTGCCCGGCTTTAATTCAAAATTGCGCCATCATCTGGAAATCCGCATGGAATTCAAACACCATTAAAGAAACACCGAGCGTCATTATCGACAGGTGAGTATTCCGAGATTTACGTAACTGCTAATAAATCGCTAATATTTCAGAAGTAACTTAAGGGAAAACGTGCAGCACGCGTCGAGCAAAAGCTTTTGTGCCGTATACAACATCACGCAATCCCCGATTTCCACTCCATCTAGATACATTTCTCTGATAAAACTCTACATAAAAATCTACGAAGAGAAAATGACGACGATCGAAGCGAAGCAGCACAAATTGAAGGTTACTCAACGAACGGTAATCGCCCCAAAAGAATTAATTTACGCGGATATTTTCCAGGCGGGAGTTTCAAAATTGACGGAAGCCGAAAACATGGTGAAGGAATTGAAAGAAAACGCCGCCGAAAAACAGACGAAACTCGCCGAAAAACAAGCCAAAGCCAACTCGGCTCTGAACATGATCACCAACACAATGAAGAACGCCAACGTGCACAAGGAAGAAATGGAGCACTTGCGCAGCAAAACCGAAGAAGAAACCATCCAACTCAACAAAAGGTTTATCAATAATTCTTTTTTCCTTCATCCTTCATCACCAATAAATCTCTTCAAGTACCTCTGTCTCTTGCTGTTCTTGACTGCAATGCACATTGACTGCTGTTCTCTAATTACATTGCAGGAAAAAAGACATCGACGTTGAACTAGCAGAAGTGGAACCGTTGATAGAGCAAGCCCGCCAGGCGGTGGGCAACATCAAGACCGAATCGATATCCGAAATCCGATCGTTGAGAGCGCCGCCCGAAATAATCCGCGACATCCTCGAAGGCGTCCTGCGGCTCATGGGCATCCAGGACACCTCTTGGAACAGCATGAAAACGTTCCTGGCCAAGCGCGGCGTCAAAGAGGACATCAAGTAAGACTGTAATACACGCTAATTTCTGGAATCCAAGTTATTTTTGCAGAGCTTTCGACGCGAATAGAATCGCTAAAGAAAACCGCCAGGCGGTCGAACGATTGATGACGATGAAAAAGGACTCGTTCGATCCGAAATCGGCGAAGAGGGCCTCCCAAGCGGCGGCTCCTCTGGCCGCTTGGGTCTCCGCCAACGTGAAATACTCGCACGTGCTGGATAAAATCCGGCCGTTGGAAATGGAGCAAATGAAACTCAAAGAGTATCTGAAGCGATATTGGTGCTAGGATGATGGAATTAACGTGACGTTTTCGTAGGAATTTGTCGAACGCGGAGAACCAGCTGGGCGAATTGAGCGCCGGCCTCGACGACGTCGACGCCACTGTGGCCAAATTGAAAGAACAATTGTCGATTTACACGAAAGAAGCCGCTGAAATTGAAATAGACCTCAATAGAGCGCAATCCACTTTACTGGCGGCCGAGGGATTAGTTAAGAAGCTCGGCGACGAATACGAACGGTGGCAGAAACAAGTAAGAGAATCGATGAATCCACTAGCGCGTAGCTGTATAATTCATTTTTAGCTGCGGGAATTGTCTATAGAAATCGATAAATTACCCAATAACTGTCTACTAATAGCGGCGTTTATGACTTACATGCCCGGGGAATCGGAGGATGCGAGAAAGTATATAAAATTGCTATCTGTTGATTATTTTATAAAAAAAAATTATGGTTATTTTCAGCGAATTTCTATCGAATTGCGTTAGGGAAATTGGAATCGAAACGATTAATTTAGAAACCTTCCTATCGACGGAAAGGGAGCGCATGCAATGGAAAAGCGAAGGACTCGCTTCCTACAAGCTATCCTTGGAAAACGCAATTATGATACTAAAAGTAAAACAATATAAAACGAGTATAAATATGAATAAAATCGCAATGTTTGTAGAACGATACGGTGCCTGTGTTAGTAGACCCGACTTCATCTGCAGTCAATTGGATCAAACGACACCTGAAGAACAGGAACGTCGAAAGTATTATACAGAGTTCCCCGAAATTGCGCGGGGAATTAGAGCTTGCCGTGAGATTCGGTAAAATTCTCATACTGGAGGAAATCGACACCGTCTCGCCCGTACTGTTTCCCATATTGAGGAAAGAATTCACCACTCAAGGTGAAACAGACTACGTGCGAATTTCACTGATTAAAACCAAACATTCAATTTCCAGGCGAACGGCGTTTAATTAACATGAACGGAAAGCTGATTGACTATCACAAAGATTTCAAGTTGATCCTGTGCAGTAGAAACGAGCACATTAAATTACCGCCGGAAATTTCTCCGCTGGTGAATTCGTTGAATTTCACCATCACCCGCGCCGGCCTCACAGGTACGCCCGCCATTCTCCTCCGAGTTAATCGCTAAAGCAAACGTTGTTTCAGAACAACTACTATCGCGCGCTATTAGCCAGGAAAACCCCGAAATCGAAAACAAACAGAAAGAATTGCTGAAAGAAAGGGAGGAAATGGAGGAGAAATTAGACAATCTCCAGAATCAATTGTTGGAAGATTTGGCCAATTCGAAAGGCAACATTTTACAAGACAACGTATGTTACTAATTATTCGTTTATTACAAAATTATCGATTTAAATTTTTAGAAGCTGCTCGAATCGCTTAACCAAACCAAAGCCAGTTCTGAAGCGATCGCCGAAGCTCTGAAAGAATCCGATGATATTAGGAGAAAATTACAATCTGAATACGACGTATATCGCGATCTATCAGTATTCGGAAACTCGTTGTACTTCGCTTGCAACGAATTCGCCAAAAGCAACGTTCTGTACCTACTTTCCGTATCCGCCTTTACGGATTTATTCCTAAGATCCCTGCAAACTTTCCAGGTAAACAAACAACCTCCAACACCGTATTTACTATACAACCTTTAATTCAGAAGTCTCGAAAAGTCCCCGAACAGCACACACGACAAAGGGCGTATTTTACGTAGCGATATCATTTCTAGGGTCTGGATAACAATCTGGAATCGCAGAAGAAGCAACTTCTGCACACGGTTTACGCGTACATGAGTCGCGGGATATTCCAAAACGATCGACTCAAATTTCTGCTCTATCTCATCTTCAAGCTCTACCCGAAATTCATACCGGAAAACGAATGGAACGTCTTCATCGGAAACTTAATTGCGAGCGGTACCACCAGAGACGATGTTCCTCCGTGGATTCCGAAACATTCAATTGCGAACGTCAAACAATTACAGGTACGAACTACAGGTAGTACTGGATGAATACTGAATTGGTAACTGTTGCAGATGGGTTTGCCGGACTTTTTCGAAGCGTTGAAGCTGCAGGAGTACACGCTGTGGAAGAATTTCATGACTACAGACGAATGCGAAAAGGATTTACCGAAGCATTTGCCGTTTACCGATTTCCAGAAGGTGCTGGTGGTGCAGGCCGTGCGCCAGGATAGATTAGTTTCGGCCATGTCCCAATGCGCTTTGAACTTGACAGGTTTAGTGTTTTTAAAATTTTATTGTTGCATTTTATCTCTTGATTTCGTAGGAATGGTTACGCTCAATCCGCCGGTTCTAGATCTTCTTAGTTTCTATAAAGAAACGCGCAAAGACGTGCCTATACTGATACTCGCTCTGTCCGGTACAGATCCTTTAACAGAGATTAGAGAAGTTGCATCTGCGCTATCTCAGGAGTATATGGAGGTTATTAATATTAGTTGTAATGAATTTCTATTGAGCTCTGTTAAAATTGCAGGTGGCGATGGGCGAAGGGCAAGAATCTAAAGCGCTGGAAGCTTTGAAAAAATGCTCGGAAACCGGCTTGTGGTTGATATTAAAGAACCTCCATCTCGTTACTTATTGGTTGACGATACTAACGCAAACTCACAGAAGTTTACAACCGCACGATAAATTTCGGTACGAACCAAAACTTATGTCACTGGATTAATAATTTACACTTTATATTCGCATTAGATTGTGGTTGATATCGGAACCGTCGAACAATTTCAACTTCGTTTTGGCCCAAAACAGCCTAAAAATCGTCTACGAAACATCGCAGGGCATCAAAAACAACATCCTGCACACGTTCGCTTCGTTCGGAAAGAAATACGTGGAAAAATTAAGTTCCAATTCCGCGAAAATATTCTTCGTCATCGCCTGCGTGCACGCTCTCTTCCAGGAAAGGCGCAAATACATTCCTCAAGGTGCAGTTCTTTCAAATTAATATAAACGATCTTATTAACGCCCGTTTGAATCGCAGGCTGGTCGAAGTTTTACGATTTCAGCGACGCCGATTTATCGACCAGCGTGAAATTGGTGGAGGACATTTGGTTGAATCAAGGCGTCCAGATACAATGGCGCTTCATCTACGGATTGATAGCGGACGCCGTGTACGGCGGTCGAATAGAAAACTTGGACGATATGAATATTGTGTATTCGTATTGCAAGCAGTACTTCGTGGACGACGTGGTGAGTCACAGGTGGAAGCCGTTCGGATTGAATTGCAGCTTGCCCAGCAGCGCCCAATTCGATGAGTACATGAAGATGATTAAGGAATTTCCGGCGGTGGATCGACCGGCGTTTTTCGGTTTGGCGGAGAATATAAACAGAGTTTGGGAGAAGCAAATCTCCACGAAGATGATATCGGAAATCAAAAGTGCGTACTTATTCAACGCGTTATGCTTAAATAATTTCTTATGCTTGCAGATTTCTATTTGCAAAGGAAGATATCCCGCGCGAAGTTCGACCAAGAGGCCTTCTTGAAAGGCGTTTTGCCTTTCTTGAGCCTTTGGAAAAAGTTGAACCAAGGCCACGATTTCATCCGTGTCACTAACGAGAAGAAATCCATCGGCGGTTGTTCCGTGGAAAATTTCTTGCACGAAGAATTCCACAACGCCATCGCGTTCGTTCAAATAATCCACAAGCACTTCACCAATTTGAACAAAACTTGCAAAGGCGCTATGAAACCGGATGAAACAATTCTATCGATAGGTTACTCTTTATTGAACCACGAAGTAAGCCCTTATTAGATAATTACCACAGATAATAATAAGTTGTTATATATTCAGACTCCGGCAGTTTGGCAGAACATTTGGCACGGTCCCAAAGATCCCATTCAATACCTGAAAACGTTCATAACTAAAACCGCCAATTTGTCCAAATGGAAGGACGAGAACGTTCGAAATCTGCTCGAAAAACCTCTGCGGGTCTCCGCCCTGTTCCACCCCGAAGCCTTCATCGCCTCGCACAAACAAGACTTCGCCAAGTAAGTCTAAATTAAATCGCCCCATACGCGCGTTTAGGGTAAATTCTATTTTTAGAGCCAACAAAATCGCGATGGATGAACTCGTCCTGCAAACCAGCTGGAGGCCGAAATCGAATTCTCTAATCGTCGCCGATATGCTCATCGAGGGTGGATCGTTCGAAAGCGGCGTTCTCAATCAAAGCACGCCCCAATCGGAAACCTACAACAACGTTCCTAATTGCTACTTAAACTGGATCAAAAAGGTATATCTATATCTATAGCTCGTTTACGTTTACGCTGCGGTGACGTCACGACTTGCTATTTTTGAATGTTGTTTTATTTTAGGGTGAAGTTTTAGCGGATGATAATCACATAGACGTGCCGCTTTATTGCACGTCCACTAGGGAAAAGAAATTGATAATGCTGCAAATTCCTTGCGATAGGGATAACAAGGACAAATGGTTGTTGAAGGGTATAGCTTTGTATTTGGAATATTAGGTATATATTTTGCATTTTATAGTAAAGTAACGGCACTGGTTGGGACTGGTTTGATTCCGAATCATCCTTTCTTTTGTTAGGGAAAGGGTTGAAGTGAAAACAAAAAGGCGATATATCAACGTTGCTTTATTTAGGGAAGGTTTACACATCTTCGGTACAAATGTCGTTGCATTCAACGTAATTTATATACGCCGTTTTTTGGGTTAGTTACAATTTATTATTACCTGCTGCTAGATTAATATTGATCCCTTCTAAGTACAAACATTTACTATATGACTGCAATATAAGTTATTTGGGTAGGTAATTTGGCGAAATAATGGAATTGTCGTTGTATTATTGAATAATAAAAAACTATAATAAAAGCGACAGGGATAACTGGCAGATTGGTAACTATTGCGCATCGAGCGTCTCCAGCTATTCCTGTCGGAGTGTAGGTACATTGGTTTTAAATAATACGCGAATAAAGGTGAGTCGCTCAGCTTTCTATTTTTCTACTCATATTTTAAATGACCTAAAAGCGGTTTTTTATAATTTAGAATTAATTTTAGGCCGTGTAGTAGCTTTAATTGCTGCCTACTACAAGATTTATTGGGGGGTCTTTTCAGTTTTCACCATTCAAAAATAAACTGAGGACGAATTGTATCGAGTGGTTGACAGAGGTTTATTTTAAATATTTTAATAAATATATGCGCAATATCTTGGTGTCCTTAATAGTTAGTATACAATACATAGAATACTCTTATAAATTGATAAATATATATTAAAAAACTATTGGGACAAAATAAGTGGATCCCAAAAAAAGTCAACCTTCGAATTTGGATAATTACATACATACATGATAAATAGCCGATATTTATGAAATATATTCAAAAAATAAGATATAATTAACCGTTAATACATATTATCTAAGAAATTAAGCGATGAAAGCGTATATTTTATTTACTTTTTAATTATCATTTTAAATCAGTCTTTAAATATTAGTATTTTTTAATCGAAAATTCACATAAATTTTCACTCTTTTTTCCAATTTCTATTTCACATTTATGTGATTTTTTAACGTTCGTATTATCGTTTTATTAATTTTTAACGAAATTTTGAAATATAAAGATGAGAGGCACAGATTAGGAAAGGCATATCTGATATGATAAGGTCGAAAACTCAATGTTAATCAAACGTAACCCAATGAAATTTACATTAAATTAGACGTTGAATTTAATATTCTATACCCCATGAATTATTAGGTAGAACCCGCCGAGTTTAAATCTTCGCAAATGAAGCCAACATCCCGGCTTTAAATTAAAAAATATACAGTCAGAATATTTTTTGTAAGCTTATTAAACGTTTGATTTTACTTGTAAAGCGTAATGTTTACGTGCATTAGAAGCGTTTACTTTTACTATTCGACCATTCTCTAATTTAAACATAAATACTAAATAAGAGATTAGCCGATAAAACGAAGTTTTGTGTCTCACAAAAATTTCTATTACGCTATAATTAAACGCTACGTTTTATATTCACACTTTTAAATCCGTTAATCTAAAGTGTAATTGACATATGCAGTACATTTTACTTATCTATATAAGTCGTAGGGTTGACATTTAGGTTGGTATAATGGAATGTTTGCTTTTATTTGGCACAAAACAAATTTGTCACGTAGAAAATCGACCGAAATTTCATATGTTTGTGTGTGCGTGTGTTCAGTGACAGGTGATAGTTAAGTTTTTTTTTTACATATCCATTTAGAAATCCAAGACGACAGGACGAAAGCAACATTACCTCAGTGAATTTACAGGTAAAATACTTCTAAAAATTCTTAATGCTTATTCGACTCACGCTAAATTTTATTACTTCAAACGAGCAGTCGAGCAAAGCGACCGCATAGGATATTATCATGGTAATCTCCATACTTTACTAGTAGTAAAAGTCCTCGAGTAATTAGGTAAACAATGCAGGGCGTCCGGCCCTAAATCTCGAACTCGCCAAACAACTCGTAAAATTTAATAGCCATGTATCGCCTCAGCTCTGGATGCTGATCTCTTCGAAAAACCCGTTGGTGTTGTGCACCGCGCATTTATCGTCCACGACTATCTGGCAAATGTGCCCGTTCTCCAGCAGATTGTTCTTGAAGTGAATCTCGCACTCCTCCTTCTCCCCATCGATCAGGATCCCCCCGTTCTTATCGCACATGGCGTGATGTCAGAGATCCAGCTGGTCCCTGTCCGATACCTGCAACACCCACCGTTCTAACACCAATATTGAAACACTGTAGAAGCGAAGAGGATTGTCGTAAAAACAAGGTAATCCAGTCGCCATCAAGGTATGTTCGATTAACTTGTGTAATGGGATTCAAATAAAATATTATAAGTGGCTATAATACCGACCTCGACGAGGGGCCAGTTGCTCTCGGGGCTGATGGGCCGGGATCCGGGCGACTGGGGCGACTCCGGCGACGACGTCGACGAGGACGAATCGCCGCCCGGGGGCATCTCGGCCGGTTGCAGGACCGGCTTGAGCTTGGGTCATGCGATCGCTGAGACCTGGCAGTCCGGCTCCGGGGACCAGCAGTTGTCGGACAGCCAGCAGCCTATGACGACGGTGGCGAGGCCGATGAGCAGCGCCAGCATTATGTACACCTCGGCGTTTCCTGCGAACAAAACGGCGACGTAGCCGCGGGAGGTCTTAGAGGAGAACGCGCACCTAATTGCTTCCTGATGCCGTTGCCCATTTTGCTCCTCCAGAGGCTGTTGATCAAGGTCGGATCGGCCCTTCGCCATTCCCTCCAGCCCGATAGCGTCCGTCTGACGCCTCCGACGCCGCCCGTCGGGAACGGGCTGGGCGTGCTCTGGGGCAGGCCGGGCGCCTGCGGAGCCCCGTGTTGGGCGCTTTGCGGTGCTGGATACTCGGTCGCTGAAGGCAATCGATCAATGAAGCAGGAAAAATGGAATTGCGGATAGAAAATTCTGTTATTAACAATTACATAGACTTACTCATGTGTATGCAAAAGGAGAGGAAAATTCCTGTAGCGCAGAGCCAGGCCATGGCCGTTTCTCAGCGACTCCTGGGGGCACATCTAACCACCATTGTAATGGGCCCGACTGAAGCAGCGATTCAATCAACGGACGCTTCCCGACGTGCGCTATATATCTTATGACGTCGAGGGCACTGCATATATAGGTTTATATATATTCAGGATCTCTCTAATTCCTGGAGGTCGGATGTAATTAGAGCGGTTGGGCTCTGTTGCAGGCGGATGGTCTATTAAATTTTTCGTGAACTATACGATCGATGTTGGCTGCAACTAAACGATATTACACCTTTAATAAATTTATACATAAATCACTAATAGGTAAGTAGATGGGAAAACGTGGGCGTCCTCTCTTCGAATATTTGATTGCATACGCGTGCACCGTTATTTAACGAAGCTTCATAATCCATCATGACAAGGTAGATAATGTAGAAGGAAGAGCAGACCGCAATTTGTCATATCTGCATGCCGTTATGGGTGAAATATTATTTCGTTAATGGGGGTGGAGGGATCAGAGGCCGCCCGTTTCAATCAATGTAGCTGGAATTGCGGAAGGGCGATGTTAAAACGGAATTCGGCGCGTTTTATTCTAACCAACTGTTGATAATTGAAACGTAGATTATTCCGGAATTGAACAAATTCAAATTAAACGACGTTGTGTTCGGCGTGTGCTATCGAGGGTCGCTTAAATTCGTACCTACTCTCTTTTTAAAGCGTTTAAAATGTTTTAAGCGCGAGAAAAAACCAATTTGGAAAAACAATATTGTGTGTAATTTATTTTTCTGTGAATATACAATTAATTCGTAGAGTTAATTTTGGTAAAATAATGTTAAAAAAACCCTGTAGGTCGAGTTATTTAAAGCTCTGGCTATTAAAAGCTCGACAAAACGTTCCCAAATTAATTATTATGAAAATTGTTCAGAAAGCTAATTGAAAATAGCGTTAGGTAGGGTAAAATGTCGAAAGTCACCAGTTTATTTTAAACCGGCTTCGTCCCAAAAACGTCAGTTAGAATTTTCATGTGCAAGGAACTTTCGTCGCGTCTAAAATTATATCGCTCTACAACCCATCGCAGTGATAATTTTGTAATTACCATCAGAAGAGAGCACAGCAGAAAATCCAAAATTTACATCATTGTTACATGGTTCGCTGAATTTTACAGCAGATCCATTTATAGAAAAATTTTATCGTAAATTGAATTTCTACAATTTCTCCTATCCATTTATTTCAATTCTACCCAACGCTTCCACTAGACTAATGGATATTTTTCTTTGCCGCAAGGACATTTGATTTCTATAACACGACAGGAATCGCCCGGAGAATATCCACATCTCCGGGGTCCCGGTGGACCCTAAGCCGGTTTAATTCGATGAACAATTTGCGGGTATATACCGACGTAAAAAGCAAACACACCCGAATATTTGCATTTAAAAGTGCGACGTCCTTATCAGAAAATCGAAATTTCCCTACCCGGTTCTAGTCAGCTCGTAAATTTAGATCGAGCTCCGGTGGAGCGGCGTCTCTGCGACAGTTTATTGAATTTCGAAAACTACAATTCGTACGGATAGCGCCATTAAAAATTTTTATCGCATACAGTAAAAAAGTACCCCGGGAGTTGATCAATTCGCTCTTATCGAACTCCGGCTCACGTAAATCCGCTTGATGAGGAAACGATCGAGAAGAATATAAGGCGCGTAATGCAATTAAAAGTTGCCGGAAAAATAGTCGCTGGAAGTTTTGATCGAGATTATTTTGCTATAGGTGTTACTTACACGGGATTGTTTCTCGCAATGCGAGTTTAATTCCAGTTAGCGTGGCCGAATGACGGGAAACCGGCGTATCGGGTTTTAATTTTCCCCGGTGAATTATTCACCCGCCGCCTTCGGGATTCGAAAATTTCCCTCACTCTCTGCGCACTCATTTATAATGCATTTTGATTCTCTACGCCGGGTTTTGCCAAACGAACACCGCCATAGTTCTACCTCTTGTCCGGCTTGTCCGGTATTACTTTTTCAAACGATAAGAACCGACGAGCTTTTACTACTTTTACTACAAACCTACATATTCGCAGGCGACTCAATACCTGCCACGATAAAGCGAATTTTTATGTACCTATAGAGCTCAAGTATGTAAAAATAAAGCCGCTTCTTCCGCTTGCATAAGCGCATTGCTTTATTAAAACATTCCAACGTAACGTTGTAGTGTTAAAAATAAACTATTTCGAGTTGTAACGGCGGCATTTTCCCATTTAATTGCGACGTCTGTGAAGGGTCGACCAGTCGATTTTGAGCTTGATCCATTATTTTTTCAACGAATCCACTTTTGTCGGCGCCTGCTGTAAATAGTAAAGCAGACGAAAACGGCCCAGCTATATGGGAGAGTGGTAAGAAACAAGAGAATTGTCCTTTGGGGATAACTTGCCTTTGCTGCTCTCGTCAACTTTAATTCGAAATGTAAATGTACTGAATTCGCAACTGCGTAATAAAAGGCGACTGCTCACATACGGGCGCACCTGGAAATTTTACCATCCGAACGAATTCCTTCGTACCGGGGATTATAATAAAAAATAACTTTATCATAAAATAGCTTCTTGGATTTCTGAATAAAACAATATTTTAGCCTTCTACTGTGCACGCTGGAGGATAGGAAATTCTCTCCCGATCACATTTGAGTGCTCTAAAATTTTTAGAAATAGCACACGAAACGGCCGTGAGTCCGATACGGCGGCGCTTCCTCTTCGTTTTTATTCCGGGTTTTTTTGTTGAAAGTACAATAGATTTCCGTCCGGAATTTTGTTGTTTGGGATTTTTCGTTTACTTTTCACCGCACATGCCAGGATTCCAGCGAACGCTTAATTACATTTACCTTTTCGCCAAATTCATCCGAGGTGCTGATTCGTACGAGGCGCCTTTGACGAACAGAATATTTTTTTGGATTTCCTTAATGTTAATCTTATTACCAGTCGAGTTGATGGTTAAGCCGGAGTTTCTAATTAAATACGTTTGGAAATATTTGCTGCAATGGAACGATTTGGCCGGTGCCCCGGCGATAAATCAAAGCTTTTCGCCGGAGTATATCTTGCTCCTTTTGAACCTCTGCCAGGCTTAAGTCGGTGTTGGGCCGGGTTTCTAACCGACCCCTTGTTTATTTAATTTATTTTATTAGCCCGCTTGGTATACGTTTTTAATTCTTTTCAAAGCTCTGCTTTGTTTAGGTCGAAAGGAACGCCGCACTGGATGGGCTTGTCATCGACAGAAGTAGTTGGATAATTAAATTCCGAAATTGCCCCGACGAGCATTTTCCCTGCAGGGAAATTTTTGACATCGAAATGTTAGAAAACGAACTTACTCTGACATGGCGGGCAGGTACAGATAGACGGCAGTAGCAGAAGAGAGATGATAAAGGCTTTTAAATTCGAAAGTTTGTCTATTATTGAACACCGCAGTTTTATTTATTGGGTAAAAAGTTCGGACGTAACCGCATCGAAATCTAAACAGTACGGGAAACTCTTTAAAATTAGAGGCGGTGAAATTGCACGCCGATTAAAAGTTTCCCCGCAAGCATCAGAGTTTTAGTGGAAAGTTATTGTACAACTTGAAATTAATAAACCAGAGCCTCTACAAATATTTGCTACAATATAGCCTAAAAAGAGCGATGTATCCGCCTAAAAGAAAGATGCTACAGATAAATTCGATCCATTCAAAGCCGAAAATTAATATAATCCCGGAAAAAGGTTTTTCTTTGCTCGAAGGGGATGAGTGATTCGCAAGCTTGAGGGATTCCCCGGAAACCGAAATAAGATAACTAAGTAAACGATAGACGGGAATTGTTTGCGAAACCCGAAGTCGATCTTCGCTTCGAAATTAAATTTAATGCGGCTTATCGAATTCTCTCAGAGTGGAAATCCGCCGGCCGTGCGGCCGCTCACGTTTTCCACCGACGGGGGAATTTTCGCGCGGCCCCGTTTTTGTTTGTCTCGATTAATCCCGAAACGCACATATGTAGAATGTAGCTACATAAATCTGGGAAGATGTGCACAAAAAGCCCTAATGTAATCGCTTTTTCGAGCGCACGGAGGACGACACTTCATCCATCATCCGGCGGATATCACTGCTGCATCGCAGTTTTTTTTCCAAACGACGTTACACCAAAACAAATTAATCGAAAAGAAACTTACACTAAGAGGCGAAGGGGGCAGTTAATTTAGTGTAAGCGTACGTGCTCGTACTCCGTCCGATATGCAAATGCAAAATTTAAGCGAAGATTCTTTCATGGGCAACGGGCATTAAGAATTCAGGCGCCGGCGGGCCGGAGAAATAGGCCACGCACTTCGCCATAGATCTCTCAAATATTCACAAACTTTCAGGATCGCACCCGGAAAAAAAACATCCCCTCTAACCAGACGTTATAATTCCGCTAAACTTCGAGCACCCCGCATGGAATTTCGATGGAAATTAGAAGGTAACGTGCGGCTTAAACAACCTTACACGCCGGTAGGTATATCTTGCTCGATTCCTGCTCGAGGAAATTCGGTAAACGTGCAACTGGTTGTTTTAAATTTGCCCGAGGACTTGCACCGGCGCCTTCGGCCTTTTTACCGGCACGCCAGCCCTGCATTGCAATCGTGAAAATTTAATGGGCTCGCCAGAAGGCCGGATCTAATGGAAAAGCGCCGGGACGGTACAATATCATGATAGGGAATGAATTAGATTCGTTGGAACGAGAAGTTGGCCGTGTTTTGATTGCTTGCGAACTGTTATTACTAAATACTCCGAAGTATCGAGACCTTTCAATCGATAACGAGTCCCTTTTTTCGATATAAAATCATGAAATATCACGATATATCTGATCGAGCAACCATCAATTTAGAAACGAAGTGTTGCCAACATAATTTTTGACATTCACGGCAAACTTTAAAAAAAAATTCGGAATGGAAATTATTCCAATAGCAGGTGCTGCTCGGTAGAGCGCGATTGAGCAAATAAACATTCGTAGCTGCGGAAATTGGAAAAGTGCAAACGAAATTACGCGGAAAGTTCCATATCGACGGTAAATCGTATTGTTATCGAGGCTCTGAAGTAAGTTACGAGTTGATTTATACGTCAATACTGTCAGGTGTCAATTGG